GAGAGAGAAAGGTCTTCCTTTTCTGTTGGTTCACCCTCCAATGGCCGCCACGGCTGGCGCACCACGCTGATCTAAAGCCAGAAGCCAAGTGCTTCCTCCTGGTCTCCCATGCAGGTGCAGGGCCCAAGCACTTGGGCCATCCTCCACTGCCCCCCCCCCTCAGGCCACAGCAGAGAGCTGGACTGGAAGAGCAGCAACCGGGACTAGCCAGGGTGCCGGTGCCACAGGCAGAGGATTAGCCAAGTGAGCCACGGTGCCAGCCTATTTATGCATCTTATATCAACTGGTTCACTCCCCAAATGGCCACAACTGCCTGGGCTGGGCCAGTGACCAGGAACCAGGAGCCTCTTCTGGGTCTCCCACATGGGTGCAGGGGCCCAATACTTGGGCCATCTTCTGCTGCTTTCTCAGGTACATTAGCAGGGTGCTGGATTGGAAGTGGTACAACTGGGACTCTAACTGGCACCCATATGGGATGCTGGCATTGCAGGCAGTGGCTTAACCTGTTATGCCACAGCATAGGTCCTGCAACTTTATATCCATTATACATCAATTCCTTCTCTGGCCTTCTTTCAGACCTCTTCAACCACCCTTTTAATTTGCTTATATTATTTTAACTACTGTATATATTTCATAACAGTTGAACCATACATTACTGTTTTGTCACTCACTGGTTTCACTTAATATAGTGTCCTTATCTATCTGTGGCATGTGAATGATTTCCCTCACTTAAAAGGCTGCATGATATTACACTGTATATTCCAAATTTCATTTGTCATTCATGCATTGTGGGCACTCAGGTTGTTTCTCCTCCTTAACTACTATGACTAATGCTGCAAAGAACATATATATTTCAAGAGATCTTTGAGATTCAGATTTGAATTATTTTGGATACATAGCCAGTAGTAGGATGTCAGAATCCTATGATAATTCTGTTATAACTTTTTTGGATGAGCCTCTGTACTATTACCCACAATGGCTGCATCATTTTACATTCTCACCACCCAGTGCACAAGGGTTCCAATCACTCTATATCCACACCCACTTGGTACTCTGTTATTTTCATAGTGACCATATTTTTAAATTTTTTAAAATTTATTTATTTGAAAGGCAGAGTGAGAGAGACTATCTATCTGATGGTTCAGTCCCTAAATGGCTATAAATAAGGGGCTGTACCAGGCTGAAGCCAGGAGCCAGGAACTCTATCTGGGTCTTCCATGTGAGTGACAGAGGCCCAAGTACTTGGCTCATCATCTGCTGCCTTTCCAGGTACATTAGCAGGGAGTGGTGTCAGAGGCAGAGCAGCCAGGACTCAAAATGGCACTCTGATATGGGATGCCACTGTTGCAACCCATTGTACCATAATGCCAGGATAGTGGCCATCTTAATGTATGTGAGTTTGACCCACCAGTTAACCCATCATCTGCAATGCCAGCATCCTATAGGGGTGCCGGTTCAAGTCCTGAATGCTCCACTTCTGATCTTGCTCCTTGCTAATATACGTGGTTCAAGTGATCGGGCCCTTGTCACTCATGTGAAAGACTGGAAGGAGTTCCAGGCTCCCAGCTTCAGCCTGGCTCAGCCCTGACCATTGTAGTCATTTGAGGAATGAACCAGTAGATGGAAGATATCTCTCCCTGCCCCTCCCCTGTAACTCTGCCTTTCAAATAAATAAATAAATCTTTTTAAAATGTTATTTGGGGCAGAAGTTGTGGCACAATGGGTTAAGCTGTTGCTTGGGATGCCAGAGACTCCTGGTTCTGGTTTAATTTTTACCATTGTGTTCTATCATCTATCCATCCATCTATCTATACCTCTTTTCCTCCTGCCCTTCCTTTCCCCCATCTTCCTCCTCACACCAATATTGGAATAGTCTATAGTGCATTTCTTGAACTGGTTTTCCTAATTATATTAAATCACTTTATTTCAGGGCTGGCACTGTGGTGTTGTGGGTAAAGCCGCCGCCTGCAATGCCAGTATCCCAAATGGGCACCAGTGCATGACTCAGCTGCTCCACTTTCGATCCAGCTCTCTTCTGTGGCCTGGGAAAGCAGCAGAGGATGGCACAGGTCCTTGGGCCCCTGCACCCGGAGTAGGAGACCCAGAGTAGGCTCCTGGCTCCTGGCTTTGGATCGGCATAGCTCCAGCTGTTGCAGGCAATTGGGGAGTGAACCAGGGGATGGAAGACTCTCTCTCTCTCTCTCTCTCTGCCTCTCCTCTCTCTGTGTAAATCTTTCAAATAAATAAATCTTTAAAAAAAGAAGTTACTTATATGAAATTTCTGTCAAATAAGGCTGTATTTAGGCACCCACCTCAGGATTGTTGGTAACTGGGCATGTTTCCTCGTGCCTCCCTGTGTCACAAGGCCCAACTCATTCACAATCACCTCAATGGCAGTACCTTTGGTAATTACACCCAAAGTTGTAAATAACAAGGAGGATGGTTTCTTTTTATACACCAATTATTGGTAGACAGAAGGTGGCTCTCACTTCTTAAAACACAAGCCTAGGGGGCCGCCACCTGTAGCACTGGCATCCCATATAGGCGCTGATTCATGTCCAGCAGCTCCACCTCCAATACAGCTCTCTGCTGTGGCCTGGGAAAGTAGTAGGAGATGGCCCAAGATGGCCCCTGCACCCATATGAGAGACCTGGAAGAAGCTCCTGGCTCCTGGCTTCAGATCAGTTCAGCCTCGGCCATTGCGGCCATTTAGAGAGTGAACCAGTGGCCATTTAGAGAGTGAACCAGTGGATGGAAGACCTCGCTCTCTCTGTCTGCCTCTGCCTCTCTGTAACTCCGCTTTCAAATAAATAAATCTTAAAAAAAAAAAAAAAGCTACATTAAAAAAGAAACCTCAAGACCACTGGCCTAATGAATCTTTCATATTTAGGTGGTTTTCTTGTAAAGCCATCTCTAACAAAGCAAACTTTGGTAACCATCCTCTTCCAACGACTTCTTTTTCCTGTCCAAATAATTTTTAATACTGTGTTTCTCCCTGCACACGAACTTTAGGCAGAGGGACTTCCCATTTTCCTGCCTTGTCTTTTCATCTTTGTTTAATCGTATTGGAAAGTACTTTAGCTTGGTACCATCCCTCTCTGCCAGCAGATAGGCAAGTACTACTCCCTTGGGAGTCTTTTTACCATGTTTTCATTTGGTGTTTCTCTTCTCATGCACCTTGATAGTCTTTGTCATCTGTATTTTCTCAGCATGGCACTGCTTATGGTAGAGTTCAGCCTTCAGACTAATCATCTTTTTTGCTTTCTTTGAACGTTCATGAGCCTCCCGACTTTCCTCTAGGCTCTTCTGTTTTAAACCTGCAAATCTGCTTAACAAATCCCCAGGTGCTCAGAGTATAAGAAGACGACATAGGGGTGACAACACAAACTCACCAGCCAGAGCAGGTGCGCAAAGCTTCCCTTGCACAGACTAGATGCTTATATAGCCAGGGCTGCTTTCGTTCCGGGCGGGCAGGCAGGGGCATTAGGCGGGCTCTTCAAACTCGTGGGGATGGCCTACGTCCGAGGCGGGGTTGAGCTGCTTTTGAGGAAGACTGCAGGGGACTGGGAAGCTTCTCAGCGTAGTCGGAGTCGGGATCTGCGCTCAGACCCATACCATAGGCAAGGAACCCAAAAGCGGATCTAAAGCTTTTGTTCTTGCTCCCTCACAGAGTGCGGTAATGGCCTCCACTCTGTGGAGAAGCCCAGGTTCTCAAAGACGCTACCAGGCCCTGGATTGGCACAAAGGTCAACATTGTAGCACAACAGGTTAAGTGGCTGCCTGTGACACTGGCATCCTATATTGAAGCACCAGACTCAGTTGCTCTGCTTCCAATCCTGATCCCTGCTATTGGAAACCAGCAGATGTCCCAAGTACTTGGATCCCTGCCACCCACAGGAGAGACTCAGATGGAGTTCCAGGTTCCTGGCTTTGGCCCAGCCATTGCTACTATTTGGGAAGTGAGCTAGTAAACAGAAAATCTATTTCTCTGCCTCTTCCTCTATCACTCTACTTTTCAAATAAAAATAAGTTAATAAAAATACTTATATTTAAGCATTTTAACTTTAAAATTTTTCAAAAAATTTTTAAAAACCAACCGCAGCAAACTTTTTTTTTTTTTTTTGACAGGCAGAGTGGATAGTGATAGAGACAGAGAGAAAGGTCTTCCTTTGCCGTTGGTTCACTCTCCAATGGCCGCCACGGCCAGCGCACTGCGGCCAGCACACCGCACTGATCCGAAGGCAGGAGCCAGGTGCTTCTCCTGGTCTCCCATGGGGTGCAGGGCCCAAGCACTTGGGCCATCCTCCACTGCCTTCCTGGGCCACAGCAGAGAGCTGGCCTGGAAGAGGGGCAACTGGGAAAGAATCTGGCGCCCCGACCAGGACTAGAACCCAATGTGCCAGCGCCGCTAGGTGGAGGATTAGCCTATTGAGCCGTGGCGCCGGCTGCGACCTAACATTTAGGATTCTTGCATCTCTTACTGGAGTGCCTGCATTCAATGCATGCATCTGGCTCCTGACTCCAGCTGCCTACTCATACAGACCTTGGGAGGCAGCGGTTGATGGCTCGGGTACTTGGAACCCTGACACCCATGTGGGAAACCCAGATTGAGTTCCTCACTCCTGGCTTTGGTATAACACACCCCTAGCTGTTGTGGGAATTTTGAGAGTGGATGAGATCTGTCTGTGTCTATCTTGCACCTTCAAATGTGTAAATTTAATTTTTAAGTGGGATATAGAAGTCCCCAAATATTGTTGTATTGGAATGTATCTCTCCTCTTTAATATCTTACAAAACTTGTTTCACTAGCATTAAGTGTATTACATTCACAGCTGTCATACCTTCTTGCTAAATTGATCCCTTGATCATCATATTGCATCCTTATTTGTCTCAAGTTTTTGCTTGAAAGCTATTCTGAAAACAGAATAGCTTTCAAAAGATATATAACAAAAGATCATCATATTGCATCCTTATTTGTCTCAAGTTTTTGCTTGAAAGCTATTATTCTGTTTTTTTTTTTTTTTTTTTTTTTTTTAAGGTTTATTTGAAAGGTGGGGTGACAGAGAGAGGGAGGGAGAAAGAGTGGACAGCGAGAGCAAGCTTCTATTTGCTGGCTCACTCCCTAAATGGCTGCAACAGCCAAGGCTGGGCCAGACCAGGCCAGGAATGAGGATCTCCATCCTAATTTCCCATGTGTGTTGCAAGGACCCAAGTACTTGGGCCATCTGCTGTTGCTTTTCTAGCTGCATTAATAGCAAGTTGGAGCAGAAGCAGAACAGTCAGGTCTTTCTGGTGCTCTGATACGGGATGCTGGCATCACAAGCAGCAGCTTAACCCACTGCACCGCAGTACTGACCCATAAAATCTATTACTTTTTATTTCTATATAGTTTCACCTACTAGCTTTTGGTTTCTATTTGCATGGGATCTTTTTCCATCCTTTAACTTTCAGCCTGTGGTGACCATTGTGTTTCATAAAGGCAGCATGTGGCTGGTTTTGTTTTTTTTTTTAATAATCCTAAATTAGTGAATCTCAACCTTAATTGGTGGGTTTAGTCCATTTTCATTCAACATTATTATTCAAGTAATAACTTGATCCTGTCATTTAAAGATTTTTTGTGCTTTTAATACCTTTTTTTTTTTTTTACGTGTTTGCATGATGGTGATTCTTTTTTCTGTTTGGAGGACTCCCTTAAGTATCTTTTGTAAAGCTGGCTTGATGGATGAGTTTCCTGTTTTACTATCTTGGGAAGTCTTACTCCTCCATTTGTGGAAGATACACTTTCTGGGTGAAGTATTTTGGTTGGCAATTATTTCCTTTCAGAACTTGGGATGTATCATCCATTCCCTCCCGGCCTGTGAAGTTTCTGTGGAAAAATCTGCCAGGGACTAATGAGGGTTCATTAAAAATGACATGGCCCTTTGTCTTGCTAATTTTAGATTCTCACTTTGTGTGGTAATTTTTAGAGTTTGACTATGATGTGTCAACAGTGGGGCTCTTTTCTGGTCAGGCCTATTTGTGTTCTTGTGGGCATCCTATACTTCAGATGTTCACATATACTTGGATGTCCACATTGGTCTCCAGGTGGGAGATGTTTTCAGTGATTATTTCATTGAATAGATTTTGTAAGTCTCCATTCCTCTCTTCACCCTGAGGCCTTCACTTTTCCTCTAGGGCTCTGTCACAGGGCAGCATCTTCTCTGAAAGGCAAAGGAGGCAGAGTCATGAGGACCTGAGCCAATTCATACACAGTCCACCTCTGGAGTAGGTCCAGGGAAGGGTCCTCTGCATCTGCATTCAGCCCCAAGACTCAGCACAGGACACTGTGAAGGGAAGGGAAGACACAGCCTTCCTGTCAGTAGACACCCAGGAGGGGCCAGTGATGTGGGGGCACAGGAAGTGGGGGCCTGGCAGGGACCCTCAGAGTCCATAGGGAGCTCTGACCTCAAATTCAGGCCTCCTTTCTGGGCAGAGAGCCATCCTGGGAAGTGAGAAAGGAAAGTTTTAGAAGGGACAGATTGCCCAGCAGTGGTACGCATAGGCCCCCTCAGCAAGAAGTGACCAGCTGCCAATCTGACCCCAAGGGGTCAGGCCTGCTCATTGCCCAGTGCTGCAAGGGGAATCCTGTGTCCACCCCCTTTGGAGGGTCCCCACTGCTCCCTCTGCCTCCTCTGCACCCTAGCTGTGTACTCTACCTGTTCCATGGACTGAACACTGACCCTAAGACAGTGACCATCTCCATAGTCACTGTGCCTCTATTCTCCCCTGAGTCCTATAGAAAGCTCAGTGTGACCCCTGCAGGGCTCCCAACACCTGCTTCATCCATGTTTGAACCAGGGCTGCTCACACATCCAAGAAAGCACCCAAGTCAGTCCCATCTGCTCACCCAAGTCCACCTCCTCAGCCCTGGGACAAATATGGGAATAGATCCAAGGCCTGGATCTTACCCTGTCCTGTCCTGGAACAAATATGGGAATAAATCCAAGCCTGGGCTCCCCCACACCCATCCCCATTGGTCCTCCCAGCACCAGACCCCAGGGTGGGTCACTCAGCGGCAAGCCCTTCCTGAACAGGTTCCCTCTAGATAGTCCAACACAAATCCTCAGCCCCCTGTGTCATCACTACCTGCTCCTGGGGGCCCTTCTCCAGGGCAGCACTGGCCTGAAACCCTGAACTCCAAGGGACCTGCTAGACAACAGCCCACAAGCCAGACCAGGCACCACTCACTCGTGGCCATGACCTCTATCGTACAAAGCAGGCTCTACCAGGGACACAACAGGACCTCAGCTGTCTCCTCCCTCACACAGAGGCAGAGGCCATAGCACTGAACTCCCAGAAGCTGCTCTTTGTCTAGCTCTGTCCCTGCTGGCTCTTCCAAGTGGCTCACTGGGTCACTCAGCTCTGAGGCAAACCTCCACCAGGGCCTGGCCTGTGACAGGGTTTTGGAACAAAGTCCTGAGCCTGGGTATCATGTTCTGCCGCAAGAGAGGTGTTTCCCCAAATGATACCTCCCTGAGGTGGGTATGGAGGACTCACTGCAGGGCCCACAGCCCATCTGAGAATGGGTGGGTGATTGTGTGCTCATCTTCCCGGGGCTCCACCTGTACCCCTTCTCTGCATATCTGCAATCCAGGGCAGGGCCCGTGTGAGAGGCCAAGGCACATGGAGGTTGCAGAGGGTGGCCCCTCTCACTTCTGTGTCCCCCAAAAGCCCAGGACCCCATGACCATGAGCACAGTACACAGGGCTGGGACCCTCCTCCTCTAGGCAGCAGCCTGGCCTGTACCTGCTCACAGTTGGGAATGTGCTCCTGGCTCCTGGACCAACAGCATCTTCAGGGCCTTCATGTCCAAGCAGCAAGACACACTCCAAACAAGACCCAGTGACAGCACTGGGGGACCACAGGGAATGTCCCCCGGTTCTTTCCCTTAGCCAGGCATGCAGCACCCAGTCTCCAAGGTCCCCGAGGGTGACTCTTCCAGAGGACAGGGACAGGGGGAGGCCTAGATAGGGGTGGTCCCTGCAGATCCTCCTCACCCAGCTTGGCATCAGGGCATCCTACCATGTACCTGTCTGCTGGAGGGCAGGGGGCCCCACCCCATCCCACCAGAGGGCCCCACATCTCTGTTGTGTCCCCAGCAGACCTGGATGGCTGAGCTGAGGTCAGTGCTGAGCATGTATACCCAGACACCTGTCTCCCAGTCAGACTCACACAAAAAGCACTGCTCAGTCACCCCACAGGTGAACAGGACCACCGTACCCAAGGTCTGCACACAACAGGCACTGTTCAGTGCTCAGCTGTAACAACCATCAGCAGCAGCCCCGGAGACCAGGGCCACCCACCTGGGAGTAAAGGTCCCCACAACAGCCAGACAGGAGGAAAGCAGTTCCCATTCACCTCTGTCCTAGATCCACTCATCTCTGCTGAAGGTGCCTCTCACCTAGAACATTAACACTGAGCCAGTCAGTCCCTAGGGACCCAGTGTCCTGACTGTTCCAGAACGCGGAGGAGGGGTGCTTGGCAACAGTGACATCATGAGTGCTGCCAGCCCTGTCACAATGGACCCTCCTGGGCCGGTAGGACCAGAGTTAGGGTCCCCAACCCCTGACCCCATGGATAGGTCCTGCTCTGCTCAGCACCCATGTGAGGAGGGAAGTCAGGACCATGCTAGGTGTGCAGTGGATCCAGGTGTGCCAGCACTGTTGCCTGTGGGTCTTGGTCAAGCCCCTGAAACCCCTTCCTCTTCTTCCTATTCCTCTAGTCAACAGATTTGATAATAACTTGGTAAGCTTATCATTTTGAATTAAAAGTTATAGGGTCGACGGTGTGGCGCAGCAGGTTAAAGCCCTGGCCTGCAGTGTGGGCATCCCATGTGGGTGTTGGTTGGGGTCCCGGCTACTCCACTTCCAATCTAGCTCTCTGCTATGGCCTGGGGAAGCAGTAGAAGATGGCCCAAGTCCTTGGGCCCCTGCACCCGCGTGAGAGACCTGGAAGAAGCTCCTGGCTTTGGCCTGGCCCAGCCCTGGTCATTGTGGCCATTTGAGAAGTGAACCTGTGGAGGGAAGATCTCTTCCTCTGTCTCTACCTCTCTCTCTGTAACTCTGCCTTTCAAATAAATAAATCTTTTTTTTTAAAAAAAGTTACATAAAGAGTCCCATACCCCCTGGCCCCAGCTTCCTGAGGTTCCCACACTCTGACCACCAAGCAATGACAGAACTGGAGACTCCCATGGGCACAACCTAATGGACCCATGACAGGTCTCACCCCAGTACTGCTGGCCCCAGGATGTCCCCTTCAGCCACATCCTGCCCTCCTCCTCTCTCACTTCATTGGCGTTGGACACCAGGAAGTCCTCCTCATCCCCACCTGTGCTGTCTACCCAGGGCAGTGGCAATGAAGAAGGAGAGAGTCAGGACTCACCTGTCATTAACCCCCTTCCCATTCCCGAGGGTCCAGGATGCCCCCTCTGCTGCCCCTTCATCCCTGGCCCTGGCCGTGGTAGCCCCAGCCCCATTCCCACAGGAAATTCACGCGTATGATGGTGCATCCTTGAAAGGTGCCATTTCTCAGCGTTCTCCTTGCTCCGCCCTGAGAACCAGCCTCTGCAGGTCTGCGACCAGGAGCAGGGGGGCCTCCAGCGTGGAGGGCCATTTTGAAAGATGGACTCCAGTGAGACGGTTTTAAAGTTTCTCTTGTTCTGTTGAGGAGTTTGCTGTAATAAAATTTCTCTGAAGATGCAGAAAAGCTGTGGATGAGCCCGATTTCACACATCCACGTGATGGAAGGGAACACAGAGGGTATCACCTTCACTCTCGTTTCACTGATGAGGAAAACAAAGCACAGCCAGGCCCAGCGCTGGCCCAGTACTGCACACAGCAGGGATGGCAAAGCAAGCACACAGGCAAGGGCAGGGCACACTGCCCCTTCTCCCACAGCTACAGCCCTGAGGCCCTGGCTGCCATCTGGAGGAAGCAGACAGGTGGGTGGATGGAAGGATGGAGACAGAGGCAGAGATGGGCAGATAAACGACAGGAAAGTACGGAGGGGGGTACCCAGGCAGGCAACTACAAGAAAGGCTGGTTAGCAATAATGCATCTATATTTCAACTATGTTTTTCAAGTAGGGAAAAGAGAAAACGGTGCTGTTATCTTTTGGACCCATGAAAGCCTTGGCAATCTTAAACAAAAATTACTTTGGCCTTCTGGAAACATGAAACTGTACGTGACTGTAAAATATTCAGCCAGATGGTGACACAGTCCATCCAGCAGGCTGATCCTCAGCCCCACGGGAATGGCAATGTGGCTGGCATGCGTGTACACATGGAAAGGCAGTGTGCAGAACCTTAGCTGTGCATCCATCACAGAAGCAAAGTGTCCGTGGTAATTCCCTTTGGGAAATTTCAATGAGATCTGCTTAGAAGGCAGTTACAAATACATCCAGTTCTGTAGAAGATGAAGGCAAAGAGTTACAATCTGAGTCTCAGAACTCAGGCGGAGTTCTGATGAGCCACGGCTCAGTAACCTTGTTCATCATTTCCCAATAACCTGGAAATACACATCCCGTTGGTTTTATGATTAATATTCCCTTTCACAAAGCCTGTTTCAATACTTCCCGCAGGCTCACTAGTTTTCCAGCAACACATCTCTGCGAGGGCTATCAGATTTTCCAAAAAATCTTCTTTCTGTAGAGAACGTAGGCAATGAGAATCCAGAGGGCGGTGGCAACGATGTTCTGAGTTAGGTGCTCTCTGTGCGACTGGTTGTCCTGCAGCTTCCACTGAAAGGGGAAGTAACCCTCAAATACCTTGTGTCCCACATACACCAGTATAGAATTCATTCCTAAAGGAGAGATGCAGAAGACGACATTTTCAGATCACATCTGGTCTTCCACTGTTTATGTCTGTATTCAGGACGCAGGGAGAGAATGAGAGAGATGCAGAGACAGACAGAGAGCGCCCAGCTGCTGGTTCTCTCCCCAAATCCAGACAATAGGGTTGGGCTGGGGTTGATACCAGGAACCATGAACTCAATCCAGGTCTCCCATTTGGGTGATAGGAAACCAATTGCTTGGTACCATTACTGCTGCCTCCCAGGATCTGCATTAGCAGGAAGCTGGAGTCAAGACCTGGAACTGGGAATCAAACCCAGGCACGTGAGACACCCTAACTGCTAGGCCAACTGCATGCAACTGATCATCTATTTAATTCTTGAAATTATGCTACTGAAGAAATAAAAAGGATGCGCTTGCATTATTGGCTATTACCAAAAAATAAGTATGCATACACATTTAAGTGTAAAATATATATATATATATATATATATATATATATATATATATAAATAATTTTTTTTTTTTGGAAGGGCCGAGTGTACAGTGAGAGATAAAGACTTAGAGGTCGGTCTTCCTTTGCCGTTGGTTCACCCTCCAATGGCCACCGTGGCTGGCGCACTGCGCTGATCCGATGGCAGGAGCCAGGTACTTATCCTGGTCTCCCATGGGGTGCAGGGCCCAAGCACTTGGGCCATCCTCCACTGCACTCCCGGGCCACAGCAGAGAGCTGGCCTGGAAGAGGGGCAACCGGGACAGAATCTGGCGCCCCGACCGGGACTAGAACCCGGTGTGCCGGCGCCGCAAGGCAGAGGATTAGCCTAGTGAGCCGTGGAGCCGGCCTATTTTTTAATTAATAGAAACTAATTTTACAACACTATTTCCTGAATACTACTTCTACATCCAAAAGGGAAAATCAAAATTATGAATTCACATTTCCTAGACAGAAAATGAGGGCCAAAGAATGTCACTATCACCAGAATCAATGAGACAAAATGTGTTGAAATTATCTGGCCTACATTTCCAAACACAGAGTGCCTCCAACCCATTTCACTTATGTCTTGATATCACATCTTGATATTTCTTACAAGGCATAATTTTTTTTTTTTTTGACAGGCAGAGTGGACAGTGAGAGAGAGACAGAGAGAAAGGTCTTCCTTTTGCTGTTGGTTCACCCTCCAATGGCCGCCGTGGCTGGCGCGCTGCAGCCGGCACACCGCGCTGATCCGATGGCAGGAGCCAGGTGCTTCCTCCTGGTCTCCCATGGGGTACAGGGCCCAAGTACTTGGGCCATCCTCCACTGCACTCCCTGGCCACAGCAGAGAGCTGGCCTGGAAGAGGGGCAACCGGGACAGAATCCGGCGCCCCGACCGGGACTAGAACCTGGTGTGCCGGCGCCGCAAGGCGGAGAATTAGCCTAGTGGGCCACGGTGCCAGCTACAAGGCATAATTTTAAAAACTAGTATTTTTTAAAGATTTTATTTACTTATTTTAGAGGCAGAGTTATAGACAGTGAGAGGGAAAGACAGAGAGAAAGGTCTTCCTTCCATTGGTTCACTCCTCAAATGGCCACAACAGCTGGAGCTTTGCCAATCCAAAGCCAGGAGCCAGGTGCTTCTTCTGGGTCTCCCATGTGGGTGCAGAGGCCCAAGCACTTGGGCCATCTTCTACTGCTTTCCCAGGCCATAGCAGAGAGCTGGATTGGAAGAGGAGTCTGGGACTAGAACCAGTGCCCATAGGGGATGCCAGCACCACAGGTGGAAGATTAACCTACTGCACCATGGCGCCGGCCCCTGCCATTGCAGCCATTTGGGGAGTGAATCACTAGACGGAAGACTACTTCTCTGTCTCTCCCTCTCTGTCTATAACTCTACCTTTCAAATAAATAAAATCTTTAAAAAATAAGAAAATGTATACTGTGAACAAACTGTGCCTGAATTTTTGCACCAATACACATTTGTCTTCTAATCCACCTTCCCATAAACTTTCTGATGTCCTGGATCCTCTGTTACCCTCCACAGTCTGCAGTTGCCTGAAGAAACAGGTGGAGCTCAGGACCTGTCAGGCGGAGACTCCTCAACCTTTGTGGGTAAAACGGGGTGGGTAGCTTCAGACAGGCAGTGGCATCCTGGGGAACCCGGGACAATGTGGCCCCTGCTACTTCTCCCTCAGCTTGGGCCACCACGCAGTGGCCAGCACTGAGAATGCTCAGTAGGTCCCGGGGCCAGCCCACGGGGACACCACCACCAACACTGGCTGGGGTCACCAGCGACTTACCTGGATAAAAGAACGGGGCTCCTGTCCACAGTCCCTTCACATCCACAATGGGGTACAGGACCAGCAGAATGAAGAAGGCAAAGGAGCTCAGGGTGGTGACATAGGAGATGGACCTGCAGGGGAAGAAAGAGGCCCTGCAGTGCCCCCAAGGGGCGCGTCCAACCCCACGTGAGACCCTACCAGCGCTGAGGTGACACATTTCCATACCTACCAGAGGTTTTTGTTTATTGGAATAAAGCCTTCGTTTTCAGATATTTTCGTCAAAGCGACAGAAATAAGCCCCTATAACAAGGAGGAGAAGGATGTTAACATTTATATTCTAATCTCAACAAACAACTGTTTCAAAACTGAAAAATAAGCTTCAACTTTACTCTTGTAACTGGAAAGCTATTTTTAAGATGCATAACTAAAGCTGTTCTCCAAAAATATCTTTTTGGCATTTTTCTGGGTTGAAAGTAAACTAACTGATAAACTACATTGACTCTTTAGAGGAAATAATATTGCGGTATCAGGGGTAAAATAAGTAACGCTCAATATTACACTTACTTTTTCAATATAATTCTGGAAGTTGATGTTTCCAAACCTAACATTATTAGCCTGGTGATTCTGGTAAGACTTCCCATGCAATATCTATGCTTCATGCCTTTTTCAAGCATTCCTGGCTAACTGATGGCAAACACTATTCTACTTTCTTTCTTTCTTTTTTTTTTTTTTTTTTTTTTTGACAGGCAGAGTGGACAGTGAGAGAGAGAGACAGAGAGAAAGGTCTTCCTTTGCCATTGTTTCACCCTCCAATGGCCGCTGTGGTCGGCGCGCTGCAGCCGGGCGCACCGCGCTGATCCGATGGCAGGAGCCAGGTACTTATCCTGGTCTCCCATGGGTGCAGGGCCCAAGTACTTGGGCCATCCTTCACTGAACTCCCTGGCCATAGCAGAGAGCTGGCCTGGAAGAGGGGCAACCGGGACAGAATCCGGCACCCCAACCGGGACTAGAACCCGGTGTGCCGGCACCGCAAGGCGGAGGATTAGCCTAGTGAGCCGTGGCGCCGGCCTATTCTACTTTCAAAGACATATATCCTAAGAAAAATAAACCTCAGTGCCAGCATTGTGGCACAGCACGTTAACCTTCCAACACCAGCATGCCATAAGAGCACTGGTTCGAGTCCTGGCTGCTCCACTTCTGATCCAGCTCCCTGCTGTGGCCTGGGAAAGCAGTGGAGGATGGCTCAAGTTCTTGGGCCCCTGCACCCATGTGGAGACCCAGAAGAAGCTCCTGGCTTCGGATCAGTTCAGCTCCAGCCAATGCAGCCATTTGGGGAGTGAGCCGGCAGGTAGAAGACCTCTCTCTCTCTCTCTGCCTCTGCCTTTCAATCTTTTTTTTTTTTTTTTTTTTTTTAAGATTTATGTATTTATTTGAAAGGCAGAGCTATAGACAGAGAGAAGGTAGATGTAGAGACAGAATCTTCCATCCACTGGATCATTCTCCAAGGCCCCAACAGCCAGGACTGGACCATGCCAAAGCCAGGAGCCTAGAACTCTATCCGGGCCTCTCACATGAGTGGCAGGGGTCCAAGTACTTGGGCCATCTTCTGCTGCTTTCCCAGGCCATCAGCAGGGAGCTGAATTGGAAGTGGAGCAGCTGGGATTTGAGCCAGTGCTCATATGGGATGCAGTGTCACAGGCAGTGACTTAACCTGCTGTGCCACAACAGCCCCAATAAATTAAAATTTTTTTTTAAAATGTGTGTGTGTGCATGTGTGAAGCAGAGGAGTTTCAGTGAGGAACACTGGATACTTACTAGAATGCAACTCCAAGCTGTGAATCTAATTAGGATGCTTTTGGTTTGGTCCTTGTAAAACAGCAGAATTTTCCCTGCCTAGAAAAGAAATACCAACGTGACCAAGAATTGTCTACGATATACGTCTCTTTTTACACTTTTACAAAGTTTTATTTCAACTGACATACAAAAGTTGTACATATTTTTGGGGTTCCATGTGCTGTTTCTATGCATGCACATGCTATCTGATATCTAATCAAGGTAAGCAGATGTATCTACTCAAACATTTAACATTTCTCTGTGGTGGAAACATTCAACATCATTCTTCCAGTTTTTCTTTAGAGAAATATACGGTCCCTTATGTGTACCCACAATCCTCCATGCAATAAGCTTTCAGAGCTACCAGCTCCCATCTAACTGTAACTTAGCATCCATGAACTAAGATAGATTCTTGCTTTATATTCATCCTTTATCACTCAACATACATTTTCTAGGCAAGCAGCTATGTCCGGGGCTTACCAGGCAGAATGCAACACTGCCCCCTGCCCTGCCTGAGAAAGGAACACGGGACCAGAGAGATGCAGGGAGACATCAGATAGGAGATGCACTGAGCTGAGGCTACAAACACGACCCAGCCCAGCAGGAACAGCATCCCGAGCAGAACGGAGCAGCATGTGCAGAAGCCTGACAACAAGAGTGGAAAAACCACAACAGCATCTCTGGGCACTGCAGGTCACTCTGAGGCTGCAGGGTGGGGACGTGCACCAAAGGTGGTGGCCTCAGTGCTCCTCACTGTGAGGAGCGGCTTCTCCCACACATCATGGGGAGCCAAGGAAAGCTTCCCCTCAAAGTGACAAAGGACCAGCTCAGGCTGGCCTCCCCGATGGCCCAGCAGGCAGCACGGTGGCAGAGGGGCAGGGACAGAGTGGAACCGGGGCCGGGAAACAGTTTAAAGCAGTAAAATGGGATTTTGCATGAAACCCCTCCAAAACGAGGAGTGAAGTTTTGAAAAGCTCATAGGATTAGAAAGTGTTACTAATGATTTCTAATAATAGTTTAAAAACTTTTTGAGCTTCGTCTGTGTGCCAGTTCTTGGAACTCTATACGAATGCATTGATTTTGTCTTTAGAATTAATCTCCCAGAGGGAGGCTACTAGAACACAGAGAGGCCAAGCAACTTGCCTGTAGGTATCCAGTGGCAGAGCTGGACTCCTCCCCAGGCAGTGGGGCTCCACCTCCGTACTCTTCCTCTCTGCGTTTGCTCCAGGGAGTACACACAGGAGGTCAAAGAGTGTGTGACAAAGTACAAGGTGAGGTGACTTCAAAATGTTTGTCGGCAAACGGAACTAAGGGTATTTGTTTTCGTGCAGAGAAATTTTCTCATGCCATCGAAAAAAAGGCATATTAGGAAAAAACTAGGCATAGATTTTAAAATTACTTCTGCACCAAACTAAACTCTTAACTATAAACTGAATTTTTCCATGAACTTTCTGAAGTATTCCTGTATAAAGTGATATACAGATAAAGATAGTAATTTCTAACAAAATTAGTTCATGACCAATATACATAGAGTTTAGATGTACACTATCCAATACAGGAACCACTCACCACATCTGACTATTTAAGTTTAAAATCAGGGTCCAACATTGTGGTGCAGTGGATTAAGCTACCCTTTGCAATGCCAGCATCCCATATTGGAGTGCTGGTTCAAGTCCCGGCTGCTCCACTTCCACTTCAGCTCCCTGCTAATACACTTGGGAAGGCAGCAGAAGATGGCCCAAGATTTGGGTTCCTGTCACTTACATGGGAGACCAGGATGGAGTTTGTGACTCCTGCCTTAGACTTGGCCCAAGCCTGACATTTGTGGCTGTTTGAGGGGTGAATCAGTGAATAAAAGATCAATCTCTGACTCTCACTTTGACTTTAAAATGAAACAAATACATAAGTCTTTAAAAAGTATTGGCAAACTGAATCCAGCTGACATAAAAATATATTTTAAAGAATAAAAATAAGGGGCTGGTGCTATGGCGTAGCAAGTAAGGCCGCCACCTGCAGTGCCGGCATCCCGTAAGGGCACTAGTTCGAGTCCTGGCTACTCTACTTCTGATCCAGCTCTCTGCTATGGCCTGGGAGAGCAGTGGAGGATGGCTCAAGTCCTTGGGTCCCTGCACCCATGTGGGAGACCTGGAAGAAGCTCATGGCTCCTGGCTTCAGATTGGCACAGCTCTGGGCAATTATGACCATTTGGGGGAGTGAACCAGCAGATGGAAGACCTCCCTCTCTCTCTGCCTTTCAAATAAATAAATAAATGATTTAAAAAAATAAAAATAAATAAATTTAAAATCAGAGGCAGGCACTTAGCCTAGCAGTTCAGACGCCTGTATCCCACATTGGACACCCTGGCTCCTGACTGCAGCTTGGAAAACCTGGGTTGAATTCTGTGCTCCCAGCTTTGGCCCAGCCAGCCCTTGCCATTGCTAGCATTTGTGGAGAGAACCAGTAGACAGGAGCTCTCTCTGTGTCTCTTTCTCTATTTGCCCCTCAAATAAGAAAACATTTTTAAAACTAAAAACACAAAATAATTTGAGGGGCCAGCACTGTGGCACAGCAGGGTAAAGCCCTGGCTTGAAGCACCAGCATCCCATATGGGCGCTGGTTCTAATCCCAGCTGCTCCTCTTCCAGTCCAGCTCTCTGCTATGGCCTAGGATAGCAGTGGAAGATGGCCCAAGTTCTTGGGCCTCTGCACCCATGTGGGAGACCCGGAAGAAGCTCCTGGCTCCTGGCTTCGGATCATCGCAGCTCTGGCCGTTGCGGCCATTTGGGGAGTGAACCAGCAGATGGAAGACCTCGCTCTCTCTCTTTGTCTCTGCCTCTCTCTGTAACTCTTTCAAAATAAATAAATAAATCTTTTAAAAAATTTGAAATTAAGTTAATTTTAAGGAAAATTAAAATGTTGGTTCCTCAGTCACACTGGCCACATGGCAAATACTCAACAGCAACCCTGACTAGTAGCGGCCCTCTTGGGTAGCATGGGTAGAGAATATTTTCAGCATCCCAGGCTGTTCTATTCCCACTACTTTTTAAGTCCTCACCTTCCCTGTCTGTTCCCCTCAAACACCAATAAGAACGTTCAGAAGAAAATTCTAGGCTGTTCAGAATTTTAACAAAAATCAGATGTGAGCTAAACCAGGGATAACTTGTATTGGCTTTGGCACAAAATCAGCACACTCTGAAGCTGTGTAAAGTACTGCTACGTGGGGCCGGCGCCGTGGCTCACTTGGTTAATTCTCCGCCTGCAGCGCCGGCATCCTATATGGACACCGGGTTCTAGTCCCGGTTGCTCCTCTTCCAGTCCAGCTCTCTGCTGTGGCCCAGGAGGGCAATGGAGGATGGCCCAAGTGCTTGAGCCCCTGCAACTGCATGGGAGACCAGGAGAAGCACCTGGCTCCTGGCTTCGGATCGGTGCAGCTCTGGCCGTAGCAGCCATTTGGGTGGTGAGCCAACAGAAGGAAGACCTTTCTCTCTGTCTCTCTCTCTCTCACTGTCTATAACTCTACCTCTCAAATAAGTAATAATAATAATAAAAGTACTACTGCGTACTGGTGCTATGTGTAGTCCAGAACACCCATCTTGAAACCTGGTCACCAAGTGATGGCCTTAGAAGGTGGGCTCTCTGAGTGGTAGGGTGGATTCAATGTGTGTGGTTTTTTTTCTTTTTCTGAGAGGTAGAGTGGACAGTGAGAGAGAGAGAGACAGAAAGGTCTTCCTTTTCCAATGGTTCACCCCACAATGGCTGCTGCGGCCGTTGCACTGCGCTGATCCGAAGCCAGGAGCCAGGTGCTTATCCTGGTCTCTCATGTGGGTGCAGATTCCAAGGACTTGGGCCATCCTCCACTGCCTTCTCGGGCCACAGCAGAGAGCTGGCCTGGAAGAGGACCAACCAGGACAGAATCCAGCACCCCAACCAGGACTAGAACCCGGTATGCCGGCGCCTCAGGCAGAGGATTAGCCTATTGAGCTGTGGCGCTGGCCCAATGTGTTTTTAATAAGGCTTGTGGCAGCAAGTTGAGTCTCCGCCCTCTGCCTGCCACCACGTGAGGACACACCATGTGTCAACTCCACAAGATGCACAGTTCAGGCCGCCATCTTGGAAGCAGGGACAGATCCTCATGAAGCCAACCTGCCAGCTCCTGCCCCTGGACTGCCCAGCCTCCAGAACAGAAATGCACTTCTGTTCTTCCTAAATTACCCAGGCTCAGTATTTTAACAGCACAGGCAGACAAAGACTTGTGTGCGTGAAATAAATGTGACCAGCGACATGGGCATAGCCCAACATCACCAATACTCAAACACTGCACACTCCATCAGCATTGTGTGGATAGATTATCCAAACAGTGGTGCTAATGTAAACCATATAAATAAAAATATTGGGAGGAGTAATTTAACAATTACACCCAATTATTTGAATGTGTTGAATTTTAGCAACTTCCAGTTTTACACAATCTACTGAACATTAATTTATCAGTTCTGTTGCACAGAAGAAGATATGCTCGCTTCTAATTATTTTATTTTAGTGAAATTTTTTTGAATTTATGATGAGTCAGTGCTCATAAACTGTCAGAAAAGTGCATCCTAATGAAATGAACAAGTACCTGAACTCCTAAAAATGCAGTCACGATGGAGTTGATGGTCCCTAGGATTCCTTCTGGGTCATAGGCCACCTCAGTGTGATAAAGCACCTCAAGGAAACAAAACGAGACAGCACTCAGCCACTGGCCACAGAGACACAGAGCAGCAACCTTAGACTAAATACAAACTACAGGCATTCCAGGACTCAATGCTTCCCCACCTTTGTGAGCGATCACACTGCCAGCTTATCAGGATTACAAGAGGACATGGTGTGTGAAGGGATTGTACGGCCCCAAGGACAAGACATGGCCACTTCAGCTTCAACTGGCTAGGCAAACAGTGCTGGGCTCCGCGTTAGTGATAAATGCAATGCAAAATGCCATCATAATTTTCACAGTTTTTCTTTCTGGTCAACCCTACTGTGCATCAACAGCTTTCGGTCTTGTTTTAAGGCAAATAACACCAACATATATACTTTCATGGGGTGGGTGTTTGGCCTAGTGGTTAAAATGCTGGTTAAGGTACCTGTAACCCATATTGGAATGCCTGGATTTGCACTCCAACTGCACTTCCAATTCAAGTTTCATGTTAATGTGGACCTTGGGAAGCAGGAGTCAACGGCTCAAGTCTCTGCCTCTCACGTGTAAGAAGTTTTCAACTTCTGGCTCAGGTCTGACTACTGTAAGCATTGAGAGCATTTGGGGAGTGAACCAAGATACAGGACATCTCTGTCTTTCTGCCTCTCTCTCTTTCAGCCTCTTAATAAATAAGCACACACTTATATATTTGTATTTTTTATTATAAATATATGATGCAGGGGCCAGCATTGTGACACAACAGGTTAAGCCACCACTTACAACACCAGCATCCTATACTGGAATGCCAGATCGAGCTGGGGCTGCTCTGCTTCCAATCCAGCTCCCTGCTTATGTGTCTGTGAAAGAGGAGAAAGATGGTCCAAGTCCTGAATCCCTGCCACTCATGTAGAAGTCCTGTGTGGACCTCTGGGTTCTTAGCCCGGCCCAGTCCCTGCAACTGCAGCCATTTGGGGAGTGAACCAGAGGATGGACGATCTGTCTCTGCCTGCCTCCCTCTCTTTTAGTCTCCCTTTCAAATACATCTTTAAAGCAAACAAAAAATGCATACATGATGTAGGGATTGTGGGAGTTTGGAAATACACAGTGCAGTGGTGTAGTTGGCCACCTGGAACCTCACGCTGCCAAGTACTCATGGCCAAAAGTTCTCAGCCAAGATTCTTTTCGGGACTTTCCTTGATTAAACAAAGCTGCCTCTCCAGGAGTCACCCTTTACTGTGGGCAGTGCCTATCTGCCCAAGAACAGAAAAAGCTCCATCCCTCGCCCAATTCTGAACGACTCTGAAGTGTCACCCTAGCTCACTGTGAGGTTAGCAGGGCCCTTGCTGGGCCTGCCCTGCAGTTACCTCCTCCCCCTGCCCAGTCCTGCTTGCCAGCCAGGATCCCTGATGAACTTCCTGTCTCGGCACAGTCTGCTGCCGGGGATGCCAAACAGGAGGCATCTAGAAATGCACATGCTACTCATTTCACACCTGCTGCCACACAACGAACATGAAAGTCACAAGGTTTCCCAACTTCCTATCACATCATTAAACTTCGAAGATCCTAAGCTTCCGGGTCCATGTGATGCCACTGTCACTCACAGTAGAAGAAGGATGCTTGTACAGGTGATCGTCTCCCAGGAGCACACGGTCGATGTAGCCTGCAGCTCCTCCAGTACAATTTGGATACTTCCCCCAGTCTCCGATGCCACCAGGACCAAGATAACCACTAGGAAAGCGGAAAAGGCACATAAATGATAAGACCTCAGAAGGGACGAGGCTAGTGCTATTTACATAGTCCAGTTCAAGAGACTCAAACGTGTGCAGGCCTAAAACATCCCTGTGGCCCCATGCATGCTCATCACCTCCCTTTGGACTTGACGGTTAAGGCAGAAGCCCAATTTCTGTTCAAAATGACCCTGAAACAACACCAAAGTGTGCCTTAAAGGCGAATTGAGAGAAGTCTTCTGACATCAGAAATGTGAAAGCTCTAAGTCCCAAGCCGCGGATTTGGCAGAAAATGACATACAAAAAGGGCTGACCTGCAAGGAGTCACTTACGTGGGGCACCCAGGAACAGGCAAGAAGAAGGACAAGCCCAGCCAGATGCTTTCTAGCAACAGAATGAGAAGCCACTGGGGCCAGCTGGACGTGACGTCTCGAAGACAAGTGCAGCTGCTCTCCTGAGTGGAAAAGAATACCAGCACTTAGGGACTAAATGAAGACACTGCAGCCAGAATATAGTTATCTGTAACTGGAAAACACCCAATGATGCTTTTCTTGGCCCTTTAGGTAGTAATATAAAAATTTACTCAATATGTACTGTGTCATCTGAAACATGAGAGCTCAATATTAATTTAAAGGAAATCCATGGATAGTGACAGAATCCGGGACAGAATCCGGCACCCCAACCAGGACTAGAACCCGGTATGCCGGCGCCTCAGGCAGAGGATTAGCCTATTGAGCTGTGGCGCTGGCCCAATGTGTTTTTAATAAGGCTTGTGGCAGCAAGTTGAGTCTCCGCCCTCTGCCTGCCACCACGTGAGGACACACCATGTGTCAACTCCACAAGATGCACAGTTCAGGCCGCCATCTTGGAAGCAGGGACAGATCCTCATGAAGCCAACCTGCCAGCTCCTGCCCCTGGACTGCCCAGCCTCCAGAACAGAAATGCACTTCTGTTCTTCCTAAATTACCCAGGCTCAGTATTTTAACAGCACAGGCAGACGAAGACTTGTGTGTGTGAAATAAATGTGACCAATATGTACTGTGTCATCTGAAACATGAGAGCCAAATATTAATTTAAAGGAAATCAGTGGATAGTGCTACATCTATACCCAAAGGAACTGAAAACATGTTTATACAAAAATTTGTACACAGGCTGGCGCCGTAGCTCACTAGGCTAATCCTCTACCAGCGGCACCGGCACTCCGGGTTCTTGTCCCGGTTGGGGCGCCGGATTCTGTCCCAGTTGCTCCTCTTCCAGTCCAGCTCTCTGCTGTGGCCCAGGAAGGCAGTGGAGGATGGCCCAAGTGCTTGGGCCCTGCACGCACATGGGAGACCAGGAAGAAGCACCTGGCTCCTGGCTTCGGATTGGCGCAGCGCACTGACCGTGGAGGCTTTTTTGGGGGTGAACCAACGGAAGGAAGACCTTTCTCTCTGTCTCTCTCTCTCACCATCTAACTCTGCCTGTCAAAAAAAAATTTGTACACAAACATACACAGTGGCATTATTCACAATAGTCAAAAAGTAGAAAGCAAGTCAAATGTCCACCAGCTGAGGAATGGATCAACAAAATGTGGTGTATCTGATATGTGGAATTCTACTCAGCAATACAAAGGGACCATGGCCTGACCCATGAAACAGCACCTGGAAACCTCAAAAAAATCTCTCAGAGTCATCTGGGGAGTGATCCAGCAGATGAAACATATCTCTCTCTGTAACTCTGTCTTTCATATAAATAAATGTTTTTATTTTAAAGTGAGGAATGCTTGCACAAAAAAAAAAAGGGGTAAGTTTATTTTGGAGCAAAAAAAATTTCCAAAGCCATGAATAATTTTCTCATACTATGCATTTGCAAGCAGCATTATATTTCATGTATTTTTGAACACCATCATTTTTTGTACTACATATTGAACTTCATGAAGATCTTGTGTATGTATGGATTTAAACTTTTTTTTTTTTTGACAGGCAGAGTGGATAGTGAAAGAGAGAGACAGAGAGAAAGGTCTTCCTTTTTGCCGTTGGTTCACCCTCCAATGGCCGCCACGGCCGTCACGCTGCAGCCAGCCCATCGCACTGATCCGATGGCAGGAGCCAGGTGCTTCTCCTGGTCTCCCATGGGGTGCAGGGCCCAAGCACTTGGGCCATCCTCCACTGCACTCCCGGGCCACAGCAGAGAGCTGGCCTGGAAGAGGGGCAACCAGGACAGAATCTGGCGCTCCAACCTGGACTAGAACCTGGTGTGTCGGTGCCGCAAGGCGGAGGATTAGACTAGTGAGCCGCTGCATCGGCCAGATTTAAACTTTTTTTAAAAATTTATAAAAACAATGGGCAGAAGACTTGATCAGGCATTTTTCAAATGCTGAAATCCAAATGGCCAACAGACACATGAAGAAATGCTCAAGATCTCTAGCCATCAGGGAAATACAAATCAAAACCACAATGAGGTCTCACCTCATCCCCGTTAGAATGGCTTTCATACAGAAATCAACAAACAACAAATGCTGGCAAGGATGTAGGGGAAATGGTATCCTAATCTACTATTGGTGGAAATGGAAACTGGTAAAGCCACTGTGGAAGACATTTTAGAAATACCTCAGAAATTTGAATATGGACCTGCCATATGATCCAGCCATCCCACTCCTGGGAATTTACCCAAGAGAAATGAAACCAGCATATGAAAGAGTTATCTGCACACCCATGTTTACTGCAGCTCAAGTCACAATAGCTAAGATACGGAATCAACCCAAAGGCCCGTCAACTGAAGACTGGACAAAGAAATTATGGGATATGTACACTATGGAATACTACACAGTATTTAAAAAAATGAAATCTGGTCATTTGCAACAAAATGGATGAAACTGGAACACATCATACTTAGTGAAATAAGCCAGTCCTAAAAGGAAAAATACCATATGTTCTCCTTGACCTGTGATAGCTAACAGAGCACCTAAAAGGCAATTTATTGAAGTGAAATTGACACTTCGAGAACAATGACTTTGAGTAGCCCTTGTCTTACTGTTGAGGAACAATTTTTTTCTCCATACTATATGTTGAACTCTTAACACAGAGTTAATCATATGTATATAAAATAAGAATGGGAATAGGAGAGGGAGGAGGAAGAGGGGAGGGAGTGGGGATAGGAGGTTGGGTACGGTAGGAAGAATTGCCATGTTCCTAAAGTTGTAATTCTGAAATGCATGAGGTTTGTATTCTTTAAATAAAAGATTCTGGGGAAAAAAAGGAAATAAAATAAAAATTATATAGTGCTTTGTGTCCCCCCTCTCAATTTTAAAAACAGAGTTTCTCACCAAGACCCAGTTTTCAGGCACAGGTTTAGCAAAGAGGAGCTCCAACACAGCCACCACAAAGTAAGTCACTCCCAAGCGCTGCAGGACGCCAGGAATTCGCACCTTATCCCAAGACACTGCAGAACACACAAGTTAGGTACAGTGGGGGCCACACTACTCATCTCATCCCAAAGCATTAGTTTTTTAACAAAGGATAGCCTTACTGATATGAAGATACTTTAAAAGTTCATGGAAAAATGGAATTAAAAGACACATTCATTATATCACCATTAGTTTGATATCCCGGCACAGTTGTTGCACAGTATGCTTTTTTTTTTTTTTTTTTTTTTTTTTTGGACAGGCAGAGTTAGAGAGAGACAGAGAGAAAGGTCTTCCTTTGCTGTTGGTTCACCCTCCAATGGCCGCTGTGGCCGGCGCACCTCACTGATCCGATGGCAGGAGCCAGGTGCTTATCCTGGTCTCCCATGGGGTGCAGGGCCCAAGGACCTGGGCCATCCTCCACTGCCTTCCCGGGCCACAGCAGAGAGTTGGACTGGAAGAGGAGCAACTGGGACAGAACTGGCACTCCAACTGAGGCTAGAACCCAGAGCGCTGGTGCGGCAGGTAGAGGATTAGCCTAGTGAGCCGCAGCACCGGCCTACATAGTATGCATTTTTCACGAATGTTTTGAGGACCCTTATGTTACACCTAATTATGTATTTTTTAAGCTCTTGGGGATGGCATACATATGGTCAAGAGACATGGCTCAAGCCCACGACAATCCCACTCAATAGGATGATGAGGGACCTTGCCATTCTATGAGTCTGCTATGTGGACTGCTTCCCCATGTTGGAACTTTCTGAGAGAGAGCTTTAATTTGCTGGTTCACACCCCTAAATTCCAACAATAGCCATTTAGGGCCAGGCTGAAGCCAGGAGTCTAGACCTCTGTGTGTCTCCCACATGTGTGGCAGGATCCCAAGCACTTGAGCCACCAACTGCTAACTACCTTGGTTCACATTTGCAGGAAGCTGAATCAAAAGCAGAGGTGGGACTCAGGCGCTCTGATATGGGATGTGGGTGCCCCAAGCAGCAGCTGAACCTGCTGTGCCACAATGCCTGCCCCAAGTCTACTGGAAGAGGCCTCCACCTCCTCCTAGAGCCGCTGTCTCTCAGTAACAGTGCTTGCTGCCTCAGGGTTTCATCTGGCTACTGTCTAGATGTTGGGGTCCTCTTTTTTTATTTATTTGACAGGTAGAGATACAGACGGTGTGAGAGAGAGACAGAGAGAAAGGTCTTCCTTCCGTTGGTTCATCCCCCAAATGGCCACTAACAGCCGGCACTGCACTAATCCGAAGCCAGGACCAGGTGCTTCTTCCTGGTCTCCCATGCAAGTGCAGGAGCCCGAGCACTTGGGCCATCCTCCACTGCCCTCCTGGGCCACAGCAGAGAGCTGGACTGGAAGAGGAGCAACCGGGACTAGAGCCTGGTGCCCATATGGGATGCTGGCGCTGCAGGCGGAGGATTAACCAAGTGAGCGACGGCACTGGCCCGGGGTCCTCTTTCACTAGTGACAGCATGTGACTATCCCCTCAAGCCTGATACTGGCACAAAGCACACAGCACGCATCTCACTGCATACCACGAACTGACAGCAAAGCCACTGTCCTTCCCAGCAACCCTGTCACACACAAGAAATGACCTAGGTAGATTCCTAGGCTGCCACAAGATGTCAAGTTGACGAAACCTAAATGGCAGGAAGACGGGGCCTGAGAACAAGGTGACCTGGCCTGGTCTCTACTCTGAAACATGAGAATACTTCAAAAAGTTTGTGAAAAAAAATGAGATTAAAAGTTAAGTTTATTTTGGTGCAAACAATGTTTGCACTGTAGCACAGCGGGTTCAAGCCCTGGTCTGCAGCACCGGCATCCCATATGGGCGCCAGTTCGAGTCCCAGCTGCTCCACTTCTGATCCAGCTCTCTGCTATGGCCTAGGAAAGCAGTAGAAGATGGCTCAAGTCCTTGGACCCCGGCACCCACGTGGGAGACCTGGAAGAAGCTTCTGGCTCCTGGCTTCATATTGGTGCAGCTCCAGCCATTGCAGCCATTTGGGAAGTGAACCAGCGGATGAAAGACCTCTCTTTCTCTCTGCCTCTGCCTCTCTGTAACTCTGCCTTTCATATAAATAAATAAATCTTTAAAAAAAGAGAGAAATCCATGCATAGTTTTTTCCATAGCACACATTTTCCATGAACTTTTCAAACATTCCTCATATTCCAACTCTCTAGGCCTCAGCCTTCCCTTTTGTACGACAAAAGGGATTGAGTGGTGCCAGAGGCTCCCCCTCCCAGGCATAAAATTCCAAGAGAATAATAATAATAATAATGCCACTCAAATCTACACAAGTATCATATGGAGGAATTAGATTTCCTTCTAATTATGACAGGCACTTTTTCACATTTCCTGAATGTATACTAACAAAGGAGAAAAAAATACTCACGTGGACCAAGACAATAATTGGGGTTCACAATGACGATTCCTATCATGATCAGCAGGAAGCTCCTCCACGCAATTTTCCCCAGCAATCTGAGTTTTGAACATCCCCGCTGCAGTGCAGACATCATTGACAGGAAAATCGAAGAGCCCATAATAAAGACAAACCTAAAACACAACCCGGCTGTTACAAATAGGCCATTTGCAACGTCTGTGTACATGTCTCTCAGGCTTTATAAGCTACTATGTGAGAAAAGCAACATCCGATTTGTTTAAGGTGGCCAGTTACAGAAATGACGTCAGCAAATGCTCTCCTTCTGTTGTCAGACAGAAACCAGGAAGATGCCGTGGTGCCGATCACCAGACACTCGCTAGCAGGCCCTGGAGGTACTGAAGAAATAAACACAGCATGCAGTCACTGCTACCTTCACACCCACTCCTGGAAGAAAAAGAGAGCTAGATTTCTTTTCTCTCCGCTTCTTTGATTCACATGTATTTTTGTTTTTCTTTCTTTTGCCGTGCTAAATTGCTATCTTTAAAAGAAAAGGCAGAGTACTTATGTGGCTAGGGGGCAGTGAGATGAGAGTCTGCCCTAGCTGCACTGCTTTCTGGGTATCCCCTGGCTTCCTTGCTTAGGGCCAACTGAGTCAAATCCAGCTTCTAGTACCAGAAGCTCTCTGTAGGGAACCTCACAGAGGATATAAATGAACAGTCACCAAGTCTTCAGGCACATTAATACTCCCCTATCCAAATCCATCTCTAAAAGGTAGACTCCCCAAAAGTCCCATGATGAAACACAAGGGTGCAGACATGAGACATCTCCTGGCACTACCTCCAATGGAGCAAAGCTGCTTAAAGCAACATAGCAAGGCTACAAATCCCAGAACATACAGCAAGTGTCCCGTGACAAGAGTAAGAACCCATGAGCAGGTTAAGCCTTAGACTGTGGCGCCTCCCATATGGGCGCTGGTTCCAGTCCCAGCTGCTCCTCTTTCAATCCAGCTCCCTGCTGATGGCCTGGGAAGGCAATGGAAGATGGCCCAAGTGCTTGGGCCCCTACACCCATGTGGGAGACGTTGAAGAAGCTCCTGGCTTCAGATTGGCCCAGCTCAGCCATTGCAGCCATTTGGGAAGTGATCCAGCGGATGGAAGACCTCTTTTTTGTTTCTCCCTCTCTCTGTAATTCTGCCTCTCAAGCAAATAAGTAAATAAATCTTTAAAAAAGAAAACAGAACCCATGAACCATCAGAGACAGAGCTTGGTTACTCTATTACATTACTGTTTTAAATTTTAATTTATCACTATCATGGTCTGCTACATATTTATCCTGTTCTCTGACACTATACTTCTGTATTCCTTTTAGGAAATATGATTTTTGTAAAAGATGTATTTATTATTTGAAAGGCAGAGTTACAGAGAGGCAGATGCAGAGAGAGAGAAGTCTTCCTTCTGCTGGTTCATCCCCTAATTGGCTGCAACGGCTGAAGCTGGGCCATCCAAAGTCAGGAATCAGGAGCTTCCTCCAGGTCTCCCATGCGGGTGCAGGGGACCAAGCACTGGGAACATCTTGCACTGCTTTCCCAGGCCACAGCAGGGAGCTAGATTGGAAGTGGAACACCGGAACTCGAACCGGTGCCCATATGGGATGCTGGCACTACAGGTGGCAGCTCTACCTGCTACGCCATAGTGCTAGCCTCAGAAAATCTTTATTGTATTTTCAACATTAGTGGAACTTAACTACTCATTCAGAATTTAAGATGTCTTACCATATGTTAGTATTTGGCATCTCATATCTACACTAATAACATGTTCCTTACTGTGTCACCCATCTTACATACATCACCATACACACACGCATAAGCATATACCAAGTGTAAGAACCATCCAGTAACACAACCTCTGGAAGGACTTCTCAACAGCAGAACACAGGCCTGCGGTCCAGGACTCAAGGCTGGTCTCAGAGACAAACTCCAGCATCGTTTGAAAAACAAAAGATTGGAGACGACTCGAGGAAGGACATGAGCGGAGATCACCAACTCACCAAGGGAATACAAGGTCAGCCACAGTCAGTCCTGCAGAACAGCCAAGCACAGTCAGTAAGAACAGAACTCAAGGGTACCAAGGCCTCCCAGGTCTAGAATGAACTCCGCTGTATTCTGATAGGGAGAGCAACCTCACCCTGAGGTCACCTGCAGGAACTTGTCCTTGAGACCCTGCAGCCAGTCTCCGGGCCTGCAGCATCTCCTCTGAACATAACTGGCAGGGGAGAACCAAACTACGAGCACGTGGAGAGCTTTGTTATCTTGAATCAGTGCTGTTCAGAAAAATCTATTCTTAAATCAACCAGCCAGGCCAATCCCAACTCCACGGCAGCCCCGTGTTGGAAGGCAGAGACCCCACAAATATGAATGAGGGCTATAAGTGGATATGACAAGGCTCCTTTAATCCGAATCCTTAACGTTTTCTGCTGAGTCCCTCGGCCCCACGGGAGAAATCTTGTGGTCTGCGTGTTACCACGGTGCGGCATTATACAGCCACAGAACACAAGAGGAAAGACAATACCACAGGGCTCCCAGAACTATCTATCTATGGGGCAGGAGCTCCGTGGCTCAGAGGCACCTGGTGGAGCTCCCAGCGGGGCTGCTGAGCCGCTGTCCTGACCTGCAGCTCTCTGGGTGTACGTGTACAGCAGGGCGGCCATGAGGCCAAGTCTCACCATTCCAGCTTGAATGCCTGAAGTACCAGTATCTTCCTCCTCCGTAGTTAACGAAGACCATGAGCACAAGCGCTATCCTGTAGAGCCAACAAAGACACTGCTTTCAGGGAGTGGGTGTGAGGAGGAACAGCCACACGGCCGGACATGCAGTCAGTCTGTCCCAAGACCGAAAGAGCAAGGAACTCTCCCCTCCTGATCACCACGAAGAGGACCTTGCAACAGAGTTCTTCTGTCAAAAACACTCCCAACCTGTGTCTTCAGAAAACTCACACTGGCGGTGGGCATTCTGGTGCGGTGGTTAAGACACCCTCCCTCCACATGGCAGTACCTGGGTCCACGTCCCAGGGCCGCTCCGATTTTAACTCCTTGCTAATGCACACCCTGGGAAGCAGCAGGTGATGGCTCAAGTACGTGGGTCCCTGCCACCCAATGGGAGACCCAGGTTGAGCTCCTAGCTTCGACTGTTAGGGATATTTGGGGAGTAAATCAACAGACGGACGATCTCTGTCTATGATATAAATACATAAGTAATTCTTTTAAAGAATTTACACGACACTTAAATCTGAAAAACATTTCCAATGACTCAGTTTTGTACTAATTATTTCGATTGCTCACGTTAAAGAAATGTAGTAAAAGGTGCATCGTCATTTGAGTCAGAGCACCAAGAATTCAAATCTTGAGTCCTTTTTTCTTATCAGCCCTAAGGATTTGGGGGAATTTCCATCAGTTAATTCTACGTTCACCCACCAGAGAAGAGAAGTACCCTATTGGCACAATTCAGGCAGGTTAAGAAATGTCAGGTTCCTGTCTACCTGTGAATATCTTACCTCCAAATGTGGCGGCATTAACAGGAATGCAAGAGGGAAACAATAAAGCAGACTCCAAAGATGCTACTGTTGGATGCTAGCCAAGCAGACTGCTGAGGAGGGACACTCCCAGGGCCTCAGGGGTTATCTGTGGCACCTCTGGAACCCAGCCCAGCTTCCCTCCCTAGGCCCTGACTCGGGTGAGTTACTTAGCTCTGGCTCAGTTTCCTCATCTGTGAAAAGGGAAGATTTGAAGTCTATTCTTCATGGGATTGTTAAGAGGTTAAATAAGTTAAGACAAGCTAGAGTAGGAACTGGCACCAGGAACAAATGCATAATTTGCTAGCAGTTTTTGCTACCATCACTACTGTTATTATGGATTGGGCATCCCTACTCGGAAGACCCAAAATGTAGAATGCTCCAAAATTCAAAATGTGGGAAATTCCACACGTAACCTCATGCCTCAGGTAGCAGCTGAAGACTATTCGTGGGGCCAGCACTGTGGCACAGCAGGTAAAGTGACCGCCTGTGGTGCTGGCATCCCATATGTGTGCTGGTTCGAGTCCTGGATGCTCCACTTCCAATCCAGCTCTCTGCTATAGCCTGGGAAAGCAGTAGAGGATGGCCCAAGTCCTTGGGCCCCTGCACCCACGTGGGAGACCTGGAAGAGGTTCCTGGCACCAGAGGACGGAAGACTTTCTCTCTGTCTCTGTCTCTGTCTCTCTCTGTCTCTCTCTCCACCTTTCAAATAAATAAATAATTTTTTAAAAAAAGCTTTAAAAAAAGACTAATGTATAGGGTGTATATGAAACAAAAATGGTTTCTGAGTTTAGACTCAGGTCCCAGCTCAACACATCTCATTATGTATATGCCAACATTCCAGAATTCAGAAGAATCTGAAGTCCAAGACATTTCTGGTCCCAAGCATTTCAGAGAAGGGAAACTCCTCCTGTCGCATCTGGTTCTAGATATTTCTACCAGCAGCATGCAGTGCTCTGGCGCCTGGGAGGTTTCAGGGGGTAGAAATGGAAGACTTGGTATCCACTTGTATGTGTGGCTTTCAAAATTTTTTGCACCAAAATAAATGTATCTTTTTCATGCCATTTTCCACAAACTTTCAGAAGCTCTCCCTTATATACTTATTTTTGGTTACACAGCCTTACACTTTATGTTCAGAGCTTGGGCCGGGCCTTCATTCTTCGATCAGAATTACAAAACAGAAACAATTCACAGCTTGACTGTCGGTTTGCTATCAAGAAGGTCTGAAGTCGTTCTACCAGCAGTGAAGGACGACACTGGGGCTGGCTCGTGCTGCTGTTTCCTTTCTAGGTCAGCACATCTTTAAAGTTCTAAGCTACTAGGGGCCGGCGCTGTAGCTCAGTGGGTTAAACCCTGGCATGCAGCACCAGCATCCCATATGGGCACTGGTTCGAGTCCTGGCTGCTCCACTTCCGATCCAGCTCTGCTATGGCCTGGGAAAGCAGAGGAAGATGGCCCAAGTCCTTGGTTCCTTACACCCGTGTGGGAGACCTGGAAGAAGCTCCTGGCTCCTGGCTCCTGGCTCCTGGCTCCAGATCAGCTCAGCTCTGGCCGTTGAGGCCAACTGGGGAGTGAACCAGCATATGGAAGACTCTCTCTCTCTGGCTCTACCTCTCTCTATAACTCCATCTTTCAAATATATTAAAAAAAATTTTTTTAAAAAAAGTTCTAAGCTACTGACAGGACCTGGTGCAGTTTGTAGCTCTAGGCATGGCCACTTGCCCAAGTGCACATGACCTCAACTTAGCAGACGGCACCTGCTGTCTCATCACTTATCTCTATATACACACTGTATTGGCCATCGTGATCATTTTCAAGTAAGGGGAGGGGGCTGCTGACTTTATTTTCATATCTAAGAAATCCTTGCTACCCTGAGAAGCAAAAGACATATAAATAAACCAAAAGCATGTTTGTGTGTAATTTTGTAACGCCAGGACTACCTGGGGTACGTGGGCCCACCCACCATGTTACAAGGGGCCCCACCTACCCCCTGAACGTGTCCACGCAGCGCAGGCGGTGTTTTGCAGCAGACAGGTGCCATGTTTCTGGCTGGAGGTCACCACTGAGAGGGTCTGCCCTGCTTGGAGATCCCAGTTCCTTTATGAAAAATGGGAGAAGGCAGTGACAAATCATGATGCTAAGGAGTATATCTCACTTCTCAATGTTTTAAGGAAGAAACCCACAGAGGGTCTGGCATGGTGGTACCCTGGGTTAAGCCACTGCTTGCCATGACAGCATCCCATATCAGAACACCAGTTTGAGTCCCAGCTGCTCTACTTCTGATCCAGCTTCCTGCTAGTGCACCTGGGAAGGCAGCAGCAGATGACCCAAGTGCTTGGGTGCCTGCAGACCTGGATGGAATTTCCAGCTCCTGGCTTCAGCATGATGCAGACCTGGCTATTGCAGCAATTAGGAGAGTGAATGAGCAATGGAAGATCTCCACTCTCCCCCCACCCTCCCTGCTCTGCCAAATAATAGATAAATAATTTTTAACAATGTTATTAACAGTGTGCAAGCCTAAGAAACTTCTTTCTAGACAGTACTTTAACTTTTTTTTGTAAAGGTCTCATCTAGAGGTTTGGTTTCCCACTTTATGTGGGTTTTTGTTTTGTTTTGTTTTGTTTTGTTTTTGTCTTTTGCTGAGCTTGTCAGTGGCCGCATTGAGAAATGAAGCAAAGCATTGGTTTATATTTCAGTGCATTGAGTATGAGCACTCACAGAAGCAGAGACAGCCACAGTGAGAGTGAAGTCGCTAATATAAATAATAACTAAACGATTCCAGTAGGCCATCAGCATTTATATACTGAATACTGATGTTTCTTGTTCTTTTGTTTAAATCCTGGCCCTGCAACAGTGCTGCCTGCAGAGTGAAAGGCGTTTCCACATCAGATATCATTGTGCAGCCCAGAGTTCCAACCTCCCTGAAGAAAGAGACGGGACACGGAAGACAAGAGTGCTCCTTATACCAACACAAGACCCACCACCCGGCCTTCCACAGTGTAAACAAGATTTGCTAAACCAGATAATAATAATTATTAATAGCAAATGGTATATTCCAAATTCAGAAAACCACCCAGGCAACACCTGATGAATTCTAATGACTCACAGAATTGATGAGGCGATCAGTTTCTCGAGAATGTATGGCTTTAGAAATCCAACTATTAAAGTCATCCAAACTGTAAACAAACAGAAACCTCAGTTAATTCCTTTTCTTTTTTATTTACTTTAGAGGTAGAGAGACAGAAAGAGATCTCCTATCTGCTGGTTCACTTTCCAAATGCCTGCAATAGCTGGGGGCGGGCCAGGCAGACACCGAAGCTAGAAACTCTATCCAGGTCACCCATATGGGGGTCACTTACATCTTCAGCTGCTGCTTCCCAGGGAAGCGGACCCGGGCACTCCAGCATGGAATGCAGGTATCACAAACATCACCTTAACCACTGCCCCAAACACCTGCTCTCAGTTGGTTTATTTTCTGTGACGGAATCATCAAAATGATTGGATGTTATAGTGAAACAAATTAATTTCAGGCTCATTTTCTATATTAGCCACGCAATTAAATACTTAACAAGTTTCTTAACAACAAAATATAGAAATCAAAGCTCATAACCTGTCAAGGTGCGATCTTTACAGTGTATTTTCCTCAGCAGTAAAAGAGGCATGAAGACAGGGCCTTCATTAAAGGACTTGAAGGTTAAATGAGACAACTGCTCCCTCTGGTCTTATTAATTAATTAAAATTAAAATAGCAAAAAGAGGGAAACAATCAAATTCGTTCAACATAAGAATAATCTAGGAGAGGGGCCGGCACTATGGTGCAGCGGGTTAACACCCTTGCCTAAAGCGTGGGCATCCCATATGGGCGCCGGCTCTGGTCCTGCTGCTCCTCTTCTGATCCAGCTCTCTGCTACGGCCTGGGAAAGCAGTAGAAGATGGCCCAAGTCCTTGGGCCTCTGCACTCATGTGAAAGACCCAGAAGAAGCTCCTGGCTTCGGATCAGCACAGCTCCGGCCGTTGCGGCCAATTGGAGAGTGAACCATCGGATGGAAGACCTCTCTCTCTCTTTTTCTCTGCCTCTCCTTCTCTCTCTGTGTAACTCTGACTTGCAAATAAATAAATAAATATTTTAAAAAAAGAAGAAGAAAAAGGGGCCAGCGCTGTGGTGTAGCAGGTAAAGCCTCCGCCTGCAGTGCCAGCATCCCATATGGGTACCAGTTCGAGACCCGGCTGCTCCACTTCCAATCCATCTCTCTGCTATGGCCTGGGAAAGCAGAGAAAGATGGCCCAGGTCCCTGGGTCCCTGCACCTGGGTGGGAAGACCTGGAAGAAGCTCCTGGCTCCTGGCTTCAGATCGGTGCAGCTCTGGCCATTGTGGCCAACTGGGGAGTGAACCAGCAGATGGAAGACCTCTCTCTCTCTGTCCTCTCCTCTGTCTGTGTAACTCTGCCTTTCAAATAAGTAAACAAAATCTTAAATAAAAAAGAAAATAACAAGAATGTGGGTTCTGTCTCCACAAAGAAATATGAAGATAAATTAAACAAAAAATCTGTACCTGATTGCAACCAAATAAGAATCATGTACAACACATGGAGAAAAGTTTGAAAGCAACTCTGCAAAAATTCAGACAGTTGACATATTGGGCTTTAAAAATTTTTGTGTTGTTTATCTTTATTTATTCAATAGGCAGAGAGACACAGAGATCAATATCCCATCCACTGGTTCCCTCCCAAAATACCCACATCAGCTGACAGCCCGAGGGACCTCTAGTACTTGAGCTGACACCTGCTGCTCATAGAAGGAAGCTGGACTGGGAGCAGAGCCAGGGCTTGAACACAGGCACTGTGATGGGTGTAGGCATCCCGGGCAGCTGCTGTAACTGCTGCGCCAAACACTCACCTGCTCCCTTATTTACATGGTTGATTTCATTCTTTTTTTTTTTTTTTAAGATTTATTTATTTATTTGAAAGTCAGAGTTACAGAGAGAGAGAGAAGGAGAGGCAGAGGGGGAGAGGGAGAGAGAGAGAGAGAGAGAGAGAGAGGTCTTCCATCCGTTGGTTCACTCCCCAATTGGCTGCAACAGCCAGAGCTGCGCCGATCCAAAGCCAGGAGCCAGGAGCCTTCTCCAGGTCTCCCACGTGAACGCAGGAGCCCAAGGACTTGGACCATCATCCACTGCTTTCCCAGGCCATAGCAGAGAGCTGGACCGGAAGTGGGGCAGCCAGCACTCAAACTGGTGCCCATATGGGATGCTGGCACTGCAGATGACAGCTTTACCTGCTACGCCACAGTAATGACCCTGGTTGATTTAATTCTAAAAGATATCCAGATGTCATTAAACATACATGTTTAACAAAAGATAAACATGTTAACTGGTTTATCTTTAAAATAAAGTTTCTAGTTGGTAAAAAACTATTTTAGAAAATATCCTTGGAGCCAGTGCCATGGCGCAGTAGCTTAATCCTCCGCCTGCGGTGCAGCATCCCACATGGGAGCCAGTTCTAGTCCCGGCTGCTCCTCTTGCAATCCAGCTCTCTGCTATGGCCTGGGAAAGCAGCAGAAGATGGCCCAAGTCCTTGGTCCCCTGCACCTGCATGGGAAACTGGGAAGAAGCACCTGGCTCCTGGCTTCGGTTGGGAGCAACTCCTGCGTTGCGGCCATTTGGGGAGTGGACCAACAGATGGAAGACCTTTCTCTGTCTCTGCCTCTCACTGTCTGTAACTCTAGCCTCTCAAATAAATAAATAAAAATCTTAAAAAAAAAAAAAAAAGCTTGGCAAAAACAAAACCACCCAGGGCCAGTGCTGTTGTCTAACAGGTAGGGCTGCCACCTTCAGCACCAGCATCCCACATGGGTGCTAGTTCGATTCCTGCTTGCTCCACTTCCAATCCAACTCCCTGCTAATGAGCCTGGGAAAGCAGCGGAAGATGGCCCAAGTGCTTGGGCCTCTGACACTCACAGGGAGACCTGGAAGAAGCTCCTGGCTCCAGGGTTTGGCTAGACCCAGCTCCAGCTGTTACAGCCAGTTGGGGACTGCGGTGCTGATGGAAGATACCCCCCCATAACTCTTGCTTTCAAATAAAATAAATAAATCTTTAAAAAATTCCATGTTTTACATTAACCTTGCCCATTTGGGGCAGGCATTGAGGCACCAATGTTAAGAAACCACTGGGTTAGGCTGCCACTTGGGATACCCGCATCCCATGTCAGAGTGCCTGGGATCAAGTCCCCCTTCTGTCTCTGCTTCTGACCCAGCGTCCTGCTAATGTTCCTTGGAGACAGCAAATGATGGATGAAGTACTGAAGCCTTCTCACCCGAGTGACAGATGAGATGGAGCTCCTGGCTCTTAGCAGCAGCCTGGCCAAACCCTGGCTGTTGCGACCATTTGAGGACTGAACCAGTGGATACAAGATTTGTGTGTATATGTATGTGTGCGTGTGTGTGTGTGTGTGTTGTTCTGTCTTTGCAATATATAAACTGTTTTGTTTTTTTTTTTCAAGAAACACACGATATGGGATGCAGGGAGGGGCAGGGGCAGTGGCAGAGGCAGGGGCAGAGGCAAGTTTTCTATCTGCTTGTTCACTCCCCAGTTGGCTGCAACGTCCGGAGCTGTGCTGATCCAAAGCCAGGAGCCGGGAGCTTCTTCCAGGTCTCCCACGTGGGTGCAGGGGCCCAAGGACTTGGGCCATCTTCTACTGCTTTCCCAGCACATAGCAGAGAGCTGGATCAGAAGTGGAGCAGCTGGGATGCCGGCACTGCAGGTGGCAGCTTGACCGGCTGTTACAGTGCCGGCCCCTCATGGCTACCTTGTTTCCAACCCAGCTTTCTACTAGCAGTGCACACCCTGGAAGGCAGCAGGTAATGGCCCAAGTGCTAATGGCCCTGCATCACTGCAAGGAGACCCAGACTGAGTTCTGGGTCTGGGGCTTTGGCCTGGCCCAGCCCTGGCTGTGGTGGGCATTTGGGGAATGAACCAGTAGATGGAAGACTGATCTCTCTCTCTCTCTTTCTCCCTTTCAAATGAAATCAATGAATAAAACTTAAAAAACAAAACAACTCTGCCACATTTGCATGATTCAATGCATAGAATTTTTGTCTCCTTTTTCTGACCTTGAACAACAGAAACAGAAACTGGTATAATGAACCTGCATCACTCAGCTCATACAAGTCTCTATGTGTGGCCAATCTTCTTTCACTTCTACTCCCACCTGCTGCCCCTCTCCCTGCCTTAGATTGATCATTTAACAGAAAATCGCAGGCATCATGCCATTTCATACACAAACACATAAATACTACCGACCTCTAAAAGATACAGACTATCTTCATTTGTAAACATAATCATAATTTCTTTACTTCATCGTAAATCTAGCAACAATTTCTTAATATCATCATGTAGCCAGCTCAGCTTCCCTAATAAATTTTTCATAGCTCAATTGTTCAAATCTGTATCCAAATACAATCAATATGTCCAAGGCCTATATTTGCAATTTCTTTTTTTTAATGAATGAATTAATTTTTTTTGACAGGCAGAGTGGACAGTGAGAGAGAGAGAGAGAGAGAGAGAAAGGTCTTCCTTTGCCGTTGGTTCACCCTCCAATGGCCGCGCGGCCGGCACACCGCGCTGATCCGATGGCAGGAGCCAGGTGCTTCTCCTGGTCTCCCATGCGGGTACAGGGGCCCAAGCACCTGGGCCATCCTCCACTGCACTCCCGGGCCACAGCAGAGAGCTGGCCTGGAAGAGGGGCAACCGGGACAGAATCCGGCGCCCCGACCGGGACTAGAACCCGGTGTGCCGGCGCCGCAAGGCGGAGGATTAGCCTAGTGAGCCGCGGCGCCGGCCTATATTTGCAATTTCTCTTTTTCTCATCACTCCCATTTCTAGTTTATTCAGTACTGACAACGTGACTGTCACATGAAACATATTAACACAGGAATATCTAAGGAAGAATAAAAAGCAGAAGTTGAAAATTAAAAAAATTAAGCAAGACAAAAAAATACTTAACTCTATTATACATGCTTGCTCTTCAAGTAAAAAGGAGAGAGATTTTTCTTTTAGTCTTTCTACTTTTCCTGGTTCTTTTCTGCTTCAGACTAACCTAACTTCCCAGATTTTCATGGATGACAATCCATGAGCCTACATGGAGCCAGTGTTCCTCAAAACTGTCAGCGTCATGCAGACACAGACAGACTAAGGAGCTCCTAGACCAGAGGGGACGAAGGCGAAGGAAGGTCCTGTACTCAAAGTCCGTGATCCACAGGCAGGAAAATAGGGACTCCTGCTTTGCTGGTGGAGGAATTTGGCCTCCAGGCTGACAAGACACAATCAACTGGGAGAAGTTTCAGTCCCACAGTAGAACAAGGGGAATTTCTTCTCTTTGCAAGTACTATTAATGACTTTAAAAAGGATGTAATACACCCATTCATATGAAAAGTACCAAAGTGAAGCACCTGATGCACTGAACTAACACCTGAATCTTACGAAAAGATTGACAAAGGGCAGGTGTTTGGCCCAGAGGTTAATCTCCCATAGGGAGTGCCTGGGTTGAAGTCCCCATTCCATTCCAGATTGCAGCTTCCTGCTAATGTAGACCCTAGGAGGCCGGAGTGATGGTTCCAACCTGGACTGAGTTCCCAGCTCCCAGCTTCACCTAGCCCAGCCCAGGCATTTGGGGAGTGAACCCCCCACTTCCTGTGCTCCTCAAATAAATATATCAAAAAAAATCACAGGCAACTTCTAGTAGGTAAGACCCAGAATGTCAGACTCTTTAGGAAATCATAATTTCTCCAGCATTTGATTCATTTTCAGCCACGCAGAATGACAGAAGGCAAAATTGCCTTAGAACCTTGGCTGTTACTTCCCTGAAGTCAGAGACCACGTCTTCATCTGCATTGATTCTCCAAGACACAGCAGATACAGAGACATTCATTTACTCAAAGAATGATGTTCACTTTAAGAGTCAAAACTACCCTTTCTAAATATATAATTACTTCTACATGCTACCTTCTTCAATGGTGTCTTTTCCTAACAACTTACCTCAAGAAGAGCCTTAGAAAGGACATTACAATGATGAGTGCCAGACCAATAAGGAATACGACAATCACAGCTATGAAGAGAAAAAATCATCATCACCAAAAATGTCATCGTAAACATCAAAGCTGTCACATCATTACATCTAATCTACAATGGGAAATGAAAACAAAGCAAGTTCAGAAAGAGCCTATATTCTTATACTAAATTTCTTACGAAGAGTTGAGAGCACTCAACTGTTGAATACCAATTTTCATTACAAAAAATATCAGACACACACAAAAATACAGAGAATATGAAAATAAACCTACATATACTTACCATGCAGATTCTAGAATTATCAAGGTACTGTGAGATCCAAGAAGGCTGAATAGGGTGGAACCACACTAACTTCAGCTGCTCTGGGATATGCAAACAAAGGGAGGACCACGTTTCCAGGGACCTGACTGATGGAAATTTCCAGCAAAGAACTGAAAAAACAATGACGACTCCATGGGACAGGAGGAGAGAAGACAGATACACCACTTCAGCCAGCCATGCAGCACAGCCAGCTGTCAGCTGCGAGACGCCATCTCACCAAGGTAGGAAGAAGTCACCTCGCACCCACTGCTCGCAGTTGTAGCTAAGAGGGAATTTCAGTCACCCACTGACTTTTACGTCAGTCTGGGGAGCTGACAAGAGTCTGAGCAACTGCCAGGCTTAGAGCAGAGACACTGACTACTTCTTCCTCTCCCCACTCCTGTGAGTGCCAGACTCCGCAGGGAGAAGTCTGGCAGTGCTCCTCTGTTCTGCTCCTACCAGTAACAGAATCAACATCAGGAGGAGACAACCATCTTCTTAAAGGGGAATGAGAGGCGACTGCAGCAGCTTGGGTCTGCTATTACCTGAGGGAGAACCTTGCGGACCACATGGACTTTGAGTCCAGAGTGGTGCACTAGTAGGGGGCAGAGTGCCCACTTAACTCTCTTAAAAGAAGAGTATAGGCTGCCATGGCTCCCGCACATGTGACTAGGATAGTTTATCTGTGGGATAAATCTGTGGTCCTCATTGACTTTGGGTCTGGCGTGGAGGGCTGGCAGGGGGTGGGGCACTTACTTACGTTTGTGAGGTGCTCCCCCACCAACCCGCCCTCCTTTATCACTGGCACCTGTGCTCCAACTGCCAAGGCAGAACACCCACAGGCAACTGGCTCTGGGAGCGCTCCGGCTCTCTCAGGGATGGAGCAGCCTCACAGAGCTGAGCGTGGGTCCTCTGCTCCCTGTGTCTACGGGAGCCCTGAGCACTTTAACTGCAGGAATTCTGTGACTGCACAATAAAGCGTGGAGTGTAGCTGGGTGTCTGGGAAAATGTCTGGTTTCAGAGGCTTAGATTTCCCTGAGTGCCTGGGGTAGGTCATTGTAGAGGGCTCTGTGCTCACACTGAGGACCACACAGATCCTTGTGTGGTGTTTGTGAATGCGTGGTAGGGTATGTAGGCACTGTGGGTTCTCTCTAGGTATTGATCACAGTGAGGAGGTGAGGCAGTGTTCACACAAACTGATGAGATATACCCCCTCCCCTGCTGACAATAGTGGAGACCTACCACACCCAACATAGGTGTCACCCTGGACTTTTTGTACCCAAGCAGTGACCAGAGCTCCCTGGCCCCACCCAGCACGTGCCCTTGAATATCCACTGAAGCGGCAGACACCCCACTAACCACACAGGCTTATTTCAAAGATAAAAGCCATCAGAGGAGAAAACCAGTAAGTGGTTCCACACATGCCTAAAAATTAATGTAGAAACACAAGAAACATGATCAAGGAACACAATACAACCCCCTCAAAGGAACACAACACTTCCATATTAGAATACAAAGATGAAGAGATTAATGAAATGCCTGAAAAGGAATTAAAATGAATGATCATAGGATTACTCAGAAGCAATGAGAAGCAAATTCATGAGTTAAAGAAATACATACATCACACGGATGAAAAATTTTTATGTGAGAGATAATGAAGAGAAATCAAACTGAAATATTAGAAATGAAGAATTCAATATATCAAATAAAAAACACAGTGGAATGCCTTAACAACAGACTTGGTGGGACAGAAGACAAAAAAAAAAGAATTATAAAAATTAAGAACAGTATTTGAGATTTATGGGATACACCAAATGACCCAACAGACGGTTCTTGGGAGTTCCTGAAGGTATAGAAAGAGAGATGGACTGGAAGGCCTAATCAGTGAAATAACAACAGAAAACTTCCAAGTACAGGAAGCACACAGAACTTGTTATAGACATGACCAGAAAAGATCTTCACCATAACACACTGTAGTCAAACTTTCAACAGTAAAGCATAAAGAAAAGATTCTAAAATGTGTATGAGAGAAACACCAGATTACTTTCAGAGAATCTCCAATTAGACTTACAGCTGACTTCTCATCAAAAACCCTACAGGCTAGGAAAGAATGGAGAGAAACAGTCCAAGTATGAAAAAAAAAAAAAAAACAAAAAACTGTCAACCCAGAATACAGTATCCTGCAAATCTCTCATTTATAAATGAAGGTGAAATAAAGACCTTCCATGGGGCCGGTACTGTGGCGCAGCGGGTTAACGCCCTGGCCTGAAGTGCTGGCATCCCATATGGGCGCCGGTTCTAGTCCAGGCTGCTCCTCTTCCCATCCAGCTCTCTGCTGTAGCCTGGGGTAGCAGTGGAGGATGGCAAGTCCTTGGGCCCCTGCGCCCACGTGGGAGACCCCGAAAAAGCTCCTGGCTCCTGGCTTCAGATCGGCACAGCTCTGGCCATCACAGCCAATTGGGGAGTGAACCAGCAGATGGAAGACCTCTCTCTCTCTCTCTCTCTCTCTCTCTCTCTCTCTGTGTAACTCTTTCAAATAAATAAATAAATATTAAAAAAAAAAGACCTTCCATAACAAACAGAAATTGAAAGAATTTGTCACCACTCATTCAGCTTTATAAATGATGCTTAAGGATGTGCTATACGGGGCTGGCACTGTGGCACAGCAGGTAAAGCTACCTCCTGCAGTGCTGGCATCCCTTATGGGCACCAGTTTGAGTCCTGGCTGCCCTACTTCTGATACAGCTCTCTGCAATGACTTGAGAAAGCCATAGAAGATGGTCCAAGTCCCTGGACCCCTGCACCCATGTGGGAAGACCGGAGGAAGCTCCTGGCTCCTGGCTTTCGTGCAGCTCCAGCCTTTGCAGCCAATCGGGGAGTGAACCAGCAGATGGAAGAGCTCTCTCTCTGCCTCTCCTTCTCTCTCTGTATAACTCTGATTTTCAAATAAATAAATAAGTCTTTTTTTAAAAAAAGGATGTGCTACACATAGAAACACAGTCATCATCATGAAAGAATGTGAAGGCAGAAAATCTCCCAGTAAAAATACAAAGGAAATCCAAAGCAATGAATAGGAATATTCATGGAAAAATGGCAGGGCCAAGTCATTACTTTTTATAAAACCTCAAATGTATTCAGCCTGAATTCTCCAAATAAAAGATACAGACTGGCTGAATGGACTAAAATAACAAGATCCATCTATTTCATGCCTCTAAGAAACACACATCACCAACAAAGATACACACAGACAGAAAGTGAAAGGATGGAAAAAAGATGTTCCATGCTAGTAGAAAACAAAAGTGAGCGGGAATAGCCATCCTGATATCACAAGAAATAATCTTTAACATAAAAAAAAAAAAAAACTGTTAAAAGAGACTATGGAGGGCATTATGTAATTATTAAGGGATCAATTAAACAGGAAGATGTGACTATAGTAAATGTATATGCACCAAATATCAGAGTGCCTGGCTATTTAAAAGCAATGTTAACAGATCTCAAGGGAGACACAGACTTCAATACAATAATAATGGGGGACTTTGACAGGCCACTTTCATCAATGCACAGCTAAACTAGACAAAAAATAATCAACAAAGAAAAAACACAGCTAATCTACACTATGGACCCAATGGACCTAATTGATATCTACAGAACATTTCATCCCAAAGCTGAAGAATACATATTCTTTTCATCAGGGCATGGAACCCTTCTAGGACAGACTATATGCTAGGCCACTAAGCAAATCTCAATGAATTAAAAAACACTGAAATCCTACCATGTATCTCTTCTGACCACAATGGAATGATGCTGGAAATTAACAACTTAAGAAACTCCAGAGAATATGCAAATACATGGAGATTGAACAACATGCTCCTAAATAAACAATGGGTTATGGAAGAAATCTAAAGGGAAATAAAAAAAAATTCCTGGAAATGAATAAGGATCACAATATACTATATCAAAACCTATGAGACAAAGCAAAAGCAGTGTTAAGAGGGAAGTTTATATCAATTAGTGTCTACATCAAGAAATTGAAAAGGCATCAAATAAATAACCTAAAAATGCATCTCATAAACCAAACCCAAAATTAGCAGGTGGAAAGAAATCATTAAAATTAGAGAATAAACAAAATTGAAACCAAAAAATGATACAAAAGATCAGTGAAATGAAGAGTTAATTTAAAAAATAAAATAAAATTCATACACCATTGGCCCAACTAAAAAAAGGGGGGGGGGAGTGGGAGAGGCCCAAAATTAATAAATCAGAAATTAAAACGGATATGTAACAACAGATACCACAGAGATAAAAAGAATCATCAGGAATGACTACGAACAGCTATATGCCAACATATTGGAAATCCAGAAAAAATATGGATTTCTGGACACATACAATCTACAAAATTGAGTCATGAAAACAGAAATTGAAAATAGGTCAATAACCAATACAGAGATTGAATCAGTAATAAAGACCCTCCCAACAAAGAAAAGCCCAGGATCAGATGGCTTCATTGCTGAATTCTACCAGACTTTTAAAGAAGAACCAATTCCAATTCTTCTCAAATTATTCAGAACTATTCCTCCCAACTCCTTCTATGAGGCCAGCATCACCTTAATTCCAAAATCAGAGAGAGATACAACAAAGAAAGAGAACTATAGGTCAAGGTCCCTGAACATAAATGCCAAAATCCTCAACAAAATACTAGTTAATTGAATCCACAACACATCAGAAAGATCATTCACCTGGACCAACTGGGATTTATCCCTGGTGTGCAGTGATGGTTCAACATATACAAATCAATAAATGTGATATATCACAATAACAAATTGAAGCATTAAAACCATAGGATTATCTCAATAAATGCAGAGGAAGCATTTGATAAAATACAACATCCTTTCAAGATAAAACCCTTAAGCAAATTGGGTACAGAAAGAACATTCCTTAATACAATCAAAGTACTGTATGACAAACCCATAGCCAGTATGAATGGGGAAAAGCTGTAAGTATCTCTACTAAGATTCAGAATCAGACAAGGAATGTCTACTCTCACTATTGCCATTCAATAAAGTTCTGGAAGTTTCAGCCAGAGCCATTAAGCCAGAAGATATAAATGGGATAAAAAATGGAAAGGAGGAAGTCAAATTATCTCTGTTTGCAGGTGACATGAGTCTATATATATGAAAACCAAAAGACTAAAAGACTACTGGAACGCACAAGAAACTTTGGTAAAGTTGCATGATACAAAATTGACACACAAAAATCAATAGCCTTTGTATACACAGACAATGCCATTGCTGAGAAAGAATTTGTAAGATCAGTACCATTCACAAAAGCCACAAAAAAGTTTAAATACCTTGGAATAAATTTGACCAAGGAGGTGAAAGATCTCTATTATGAAAATTACAAAGCATTAAAGAAATAAATAAAGGAAGACACACACAAAAAAATGGAAGAATCTTCCATGTTTGCAAACTGGAAGAATTAACACCATCAAAATGTCCATACTACCCAAAGCATTTACAGATTCACTGTTATCCCAATCAAAATAGCAATGACATTCTTCTCAGATCTAGAAGAAACAATGCTAAAATTCATATGGAAACACAAGAGACCCTGAATAGCTAAAGCAATCTTAACAAAAATAAAGCCAGTGGCATCACAATACCAAGTGCTGTCCACTGGCATTTCCTGGGGATGAAGGAGAATGGAATGCCTTCTGTGATCTGTGTTGCCATTTGTGTGTGCAGCACTCTTCAGGTAGTCTCAGTGACCGCTATGCTCTGTTTGAGTTTCATTCTTGGTGTTTAAAATGTGTTCTGCATATTCAACATGTATTTTGTCCATATTTTGCTTTTACAAAAGCATCCAAAATTAACTGAAAGTTAGGGATGCATCCAAAAAAACAAGAGCAGAACTTCTGTGTAGAAAACCACAAGACACATTTGAGAAGAGTTGAAGACAGGCCATGTAAATACAGAAATCAGTGTTTACACATCAGAGGAGCAAGGCTGCAAGGGTTACATCCTCCCCAAACTGTTCTACAGATGCAGCAACACCATTGTTTAAATACCAGTGGCTGTGCGCCTGGGAGCATCTATGGGACACCCGCATGTGTGTGTGTGCATGCCTGTGTGAGTGTTTGTGGGCAATCTCATTATAAAATTTGCATAAAAAAGGCTAGCGATTGCCAAGACCCTCTTGGAGGAGGAAGAGGAGGAAGAAACAGGAAGAAGAAGTGGAAGAGGAGGAGGAAGTGGGGGAGCGAAGGAGGCACTAGAGGAAGACAGAGGAAGAGAAAGAAGTGGATGGCAGGCAGAGCTCTGGTCCACCAGGCACCGAGGCCCATGTGCAGCTGTGGCAGTGATGCGGCGTGCTGTTAGTGCAGGGGCAGAAGAGATGACCCAGCCCAGCCAGTGTGGCCTGCAGAGCTGTCAGGAAAGAGCCCTCTCCTTCCTCAACAGGAGGCTTGTAGGGGCAGGGCTCTCCCCTTAGTGGGCACGAGGTCCCCACTGAGGAAACCAGCTCCAAGTGGATGCCTGACCTGGGTATAAAAGCCCACATGGCAGAGTTTGCAGAAGGTAACATGGGAAGATGTTGAATTTCATGATCCTAAGGTTTGGAAATATCTGTTGAACAGGATAGCCAAAGAACTGACTGTAAAGAAAAGGAAGAAACTGGACTCAACAGAAATGAAGACCTTCTTCCCCTCCCAGGGTGCCCCTGAAGAGCAAGTCACTAAGTGGGGAGTAAATTATCCCTGTGTTGACCATGGATCTTCCTAAAAATCCCAACACACAATCCTGTCTTCTCAGAGTAAACGCCTGGATGACAGTGGGAGTCATTGAGAAGCTATGTACTTTCTAGATACAAGAAAGTGTTGGGGAAAGGTGGGGGATGGCGCTGTAGCATCGTGGTTAAAGCTGCCACCCGCAGTGCTGGCATCCCATATGGGTGTCAGTCTAAGTCCCGGCTGCTCCACTTCCAATCCAGTGCTCTGCTGTGGCCTGGGAAAGCAGTAGAAGATGGCCCAAGTGCTTGGGACCCTGCACCCATGTGGGAGACCTGGAAGAAGCTCCTGGCTCCTGGCTTCGGATCAGCTCAGGTCTGGCTGTTGCGGTTATCTGGGGAGTGAACCAGTAGATGGAAAACCTCTCTCTCTCTCTCTGGCTCTACTTCTCTCTGTAATTCTGTTTTTCAAATAAATAAAATAAATCTTAAAAAAAAAAAAAAAAAAAACCAGAAAGGGCAGGAGAAATGCTTACAGCTCCCATTTCATCACCTTCTTTAACATCGTGTGCCCTTGCTATCTCCAAAGGCAACCAAAAGATCGTGTTTGTTTTTGTTCCAGGGAGGGGGCCTCGTTCTCTTTAGTTTCATGATTTTTTGATGTTTGTCATTTTTCACCAATTACACTCATTATTCTTTTTAATGATTAACTTGTTCCACATTGGCTCTCTCACACTGCCTCCTGCATTGTTTTGTAATGAGCTCATGGTCTTCAGTGGTGTTTCTGTGAACAGCAGTGCTCAATGCCACAGGGACTTGTTACTGTCCCCTGAAAGGCAGCACGCATGGTACCATCTGATGAGGGCTCAGAGTGACAGCTGTCTTCACTGGAGCTATCAGAGAATGAATGATCCCTCCTTAACCTAAGGGAACCTGTGAACTGTCAGCCTAGAATATACAGGGAACACCAGACCCCTGTCTTAACACAGGGAGGATGCTGACAGAGGCAGGAGACAGACAGAGCCTTAATACAGGCTAGGTAGACAGAGACCAGGAGGCACCATCTGGCGATGATACCCCAAGGACCTAAGAAACAATCAGCTTCAGTAAAAGACTTCTGTGATTGGAGACTTAACCACAGTCAGGACCCAGTTAAAGCCACTGTTAGTCAGTGCCTGAGAAGGTAAGGGAACCGGACTCTGAGACTGGCTTCTATGATTAGGGACTTAACTTTCCAAGTCAAGAACCAATCAAAACAGCCACTACTCAATCCCTTATCTACAGACCCATCTCTCCAGGAAACCAATCACTTTTCAATACCTAATTTACATCTTTCCTGCCCAAATGTGTATAAAACTGGGGGTCAAACAGCCTGCTACTAGGGCACTCTCTGCTTCTTTCAACAAACTACTCTCACTTTATCCACTCTTCCTTGTCTCTGTGCCTAAGTTTTTGTGCACATGAGCCAACAGACCCGGCAGAAAGAATGTTGGCATAAAGAAAGAAAACCCATGTCAAAATGCGATAATTAACTACCCTGTTCTGTTCCTTTCCAGTACATTTAACTTTTTAGCCTTATTATGGCGTCAAAATTAGACAGTGATGAGACTATATTGATATATACCTTTTAACACAACACAGAATTTTCTTGCTAGACAACGAACATTAAGTATATTATAACTGGGGCCAATACTGTGGCGCAGTGGACTAATCCTCCACCTGCGGCACCAGCATCCCATATGGGCACCAGTTTAAGTCTTGGCTGCTCCTCTTCCAATCTAGCTCTCTGCTATGGCCTGGGAAAGCAGCAGAAGATGGCCCAAGTGCCTGGGCCCCTGCACCCATGTAGAAGATCAGAAAGAAGTTCCTGGCTCCTGGCTTCAGATCGGCACTGCTCCGGCCATTCAGAGACTAAACTAGCGGATAGAAGATGTTTCTCTCTGTCTCTCCTTCTTACTGTCTGTAACTCTACCTCTCAAATAAATAAAGTATTTTTTAAAATGCATATTATAATTATACCATCACTGAGTAGGACATACAAGCTATACTCCAGGTTTTAAATTACAGAGAGTGTCACAGATGGACTGCTTCACTTTACAAACAGGACTCAAAAACTAAAACCTTTCAAAATACTGACTTTAGAAATCCACAAACAGAATATACATACGAAGGTTACTGTCCACTGGCTTCTCATTCACAACTATGTCACAGGCAATCCCACTGCTTCCATTACGGGTGTTCTTTACCAAGACAGAGTAGTTTCCAAATTCTCCAAATTTGTACTCCAGCCTGCAAAGATGAGGTAAGATTAGGAAAATTGGTTTCATTTAAAAATAAGGAGTTGGTATTGCGCTACTGTCATGGAGGCAGGGTGACAGGCACCCTCCCTCCGTGCAGATGAGGGAAGCTGAAGAAAAACATTTTCAAGGGAGGAAAAACTAAAAATCAAAAAGGACAGAAAGTAGAGAGCATGCAGACCTCACTTAGGTCACATCAAAGCAGGCACAAACCTACAAACTGCCTTCTCTCCCAAGGAATCGTTAAACTGCAGGATGGAGTCATGCTGGGTGCTGACAGACACAGCGGCTGTGCTGGCTTTTCCCGGCTTTCCACTCTGAGGAACCCTGACCAGAAGCTGAAACAAGCACTGCAAAACAAGCAAGCAGAACAGGCCACCTGTTAGGGTTTCTGAAAGTCTTTGTTTTTGGAGGACACAATATCTAAATGCAGATTTACAAGTCACTCTTCCTTCATACTTAAAATTAAACTTATAATTTAATAATTTAGATAAAAACACATCTACAAGTTTATGCTAAAATAAGTACCTTGTTGCTATGGAATTGTACAATGCTATTCACAGGAAAATTTTTCAGAAATTAGTAAATACAGCTTATATTAGATTCTATTTAAAATATTTAATGTTTGTATTATATTCCATCAACTACTATAATTGTGGATATTTCCTGTTTCATCTCTTTGTTGTTTTTGTTGCATAAATTAATTGTTTTAAAAGGTCTACACATGAGGCTATTATTCCTTGAAATTCTTTCTCCAATGTAAATTTCCAAAAATGAGGTCAGATTAAATATAATCACATCAGTGGTTCCTGTTACAAATGGCTAAACAGTACTCATAAAAGTAAAATTACAACAACTTATTAACTTCTCATTAGCCTTGCTTAAGATTTTAAAATCACTTTTCTTTATGTTCATTTACTATTTACATCACAGCATTAAGATTTCATTTTAGGGGGTGGTGAAGTTGTGGTGTGTGGGGTAAGTTTCCATCTGCGATACCAGTTCAAGTCCTGGCTGCTCATTTTGGATCCAGTTCTAGTGCACCTAGGAAGGCAGTGGAAGATAGTCCAAGTGCTTGGGCCCCAGACAGTGAGGGGAGAGAGAGAAAGAGAGAGAAAGAGAGAGAGAGAGAATGACTCTTTAATCCACTAGTTCACTCCCCAAATGGCCACAAAAGTCATTGCTGGGCCAGGCAGAAGCCAGCAGCCTTGAACTCAATCCAGGTCTCCCAGATGGGTGACAGGGGCCCAAGTACTTGGGCTATTTTCTGCTTTCTTCCCACGCACATGAGCAGGAAGCTGGATCTAAAGCAGAGCAGCTGGGGTCATAAGTAGCGGTTTAACCTGCTGTGTCACAACACCAGCCCCAGATTTCTTAATCATTTGCTGATATTTATGTTTTCAATTTCTAAAATAAATCTTTAAGGATTCAATCAATTTTTGAATCTCAAATTTATCATAATTTCCACTAGATCATAATTTCAGTTGACATGTATAAAAGCATTTCCTAATTTTCTTAATTTTCATTAATCCCTTAGATCTATCCACAGTTTGTTAACTGTGTGACTTTTATTTTAAGAGATCATCTCCTGGGGCCAGGGTCACGGCGCAGCAGGTTAAACCACTGCCTCTGACATCACACATGGGCTCCAGTTTTAGTCCTGTCTGCTCTCCTTCTGACTCAACACCCTGCTAATGCATCTGGGAAAGCAGCAGCAGATGGTTCAAGTGCTTGGGTACCTGCCGGCCACATGGGAGACCTAGATGGCGTTCTAAGCTCCTGGCTTTGGCCTGGCCCAGCCCTGGCCATTCGAGGAATAAACCAGTGAACAGATCTCTCTGTCTCTGTCTCTTGCTGTCTGTAACTCTCCTTTCAAATAAAAAAGATCAATAAATCTTTTAACAAAAGATCATCTTGACTCAATTATTCTCTTAATTTCTAGTTTACATATTTATTATTTTTATTGCTCCAGATCCCCTATGGAATATTGTCTAATATTCTCAAACACAGTTTGCTCTTTCTTTCTTCTTTTTGTGAGTTATATCTTACTTTTAGTCAACTGTAATAACTGCTCATGGTAAACAATAATCACCTTTGTTCTTGTTCTCTTTTCTAAGGAACTTGCTAGCACTCTATAACTGGTTTTATCTGTCTTAATGCTGCCTGTCAAGCTATGAAATCTGGTCTATGCATTTTTAAATATGTTTACAGATCTATAAAAGTCTTCCTACTTTAAGGAAAGGTAGATAAAGAGAACAAAAAAAACATTCTCCACTCAGATACCTGTCCGATCTCTAGGGCATATCTACACCTTTAAATATCTATATTATCTGGCTTACTAAATATGATATTACTGGGGCAAGCGCTGTGACACAGCGGGTTAACGCCCTGGCCTAAAGCGCCGGCATCCCATATGGGCGCCGGTTCTAGTCCTGGCTGCTCTTCTTCCAATCCAGCTCTCTGCTGTGGCCTGGGATAGCAGTGGAGGATGGCAAGTCCTTGGACCCCGCACCCACATGGGAGACTCAGAAGAAGCTCCTGGCTCCTGGCTTCAGATCGGCGCAGCCCCAGCCATCAAGGCCAACTGGGGAGTGAACCAGCGAATGGAAGACCTCTCTCTTTCTCTGCCTCTTTTCTTTAACTCTGACTTTCAAATAGATACATAAATCTTTTAAAAAAATATATTACTATAGCTTGCATTCTCTTGAATACTTCTCTTGAAACCTACATTTTTTAAAGGCCTTTAAATTATCATTATAGTTCAAACTTGGAAACAGTTTACGTCTAGATATCATTCTTTGGTTGCTTCCCCTTTAAATGGTTTTAAGTGTCTTTCCAATTCCCAGGCTAAGCTTTGTTCTGCAATTATGGGACATTTTCTACCAGTGTGGTTAAATACAGGCCCTGTGCCTCTCCTCACACATTTCCCTTAGACATAATTATCTCCATGTTCTTTTAAATAATTTTTTTCCTTAAAATAGTCTCCTGCAGTTACTTCTTCTATTTTCTGATCCTTTGCTATATCACCAGCAACACCCTTTTGTGCCAATGATGCTACTTTTTCATTCTAATGGTGCTCTTTTCTATATCTTTTTTTTTTTTTTTTTTTTTTGACCAGCAGAGTCAGACAGTAAGAGAGAGAGACAGAGAGAAAGGTCTTTCTTTTCCGTTGGTTCACCCCCTAATGGCCACTACAGCCAGCGCGCTGTAGCCAGCACACTGCACTGATCCGAAGCCAGAAGCCAGGTGCTTCTCCTGGTCTCCCATGCAGGTGCAGGGCCCAAGGACTTGGGCCATCCTCCACTGCCTTCCCGGGCCACAGCAGAGAGCTGGACAGGAAGAGGAACAACGGGGACAGAATCCGGTGCCCCAACCGGGACTAGAACCTGGGGTGCCGGTGCCCCAGGTGGAGGATTAGCCTAGTGAGCCGCAGTGCCAGCCACTTTTCTATATCTTATTCATACTTTGACAAATCTTTTCTCCCCGCTCTTTACTTTTTTCCTATGGATTTTAGACCTTTTTAAATTCTTTTTTTTAAGACATTTTCCCATTCATTAAATTATCTGATTCTTGTCAATTCTTTTTAGAAATACAATTGTTGCCTTGGCTGGCGCCACAGCTCAATAGGCTAATCCTCCACCTAGCGGCGCCGGCACACCGGGTTCTAGTCCCGGTCAGGGCGCCGGATTCTGTCCTGGTTGTCCCTCTTCCAGTCCAGCTCTCTGCTATGGCCCAGGAGTGCAGTGGAGGATGGCCCAAGTGCTTGGGCCCTGCACCCCATGGGAGACCAGGAGAAGTACCTGGCTCCTGCCTTCGGATCAGCATGGTGCGCCAGCCGCAGCACGCCAGCCATGGCGGCCATTGGAGGGTGAACCAACGGCAAAAGGAAGACCTTTCTCTCTGTCTCTCTCTCTCACTATCCACTCTGCCTGTCAAAAAAAAAAAAAAAAAAAACCTGTTGCCTTAATTTTTATTATTTATTTTGTATCTTAAAGACAGAAAGAGATCTTCCATGCACTGGGCCATTCCCCAAATGCCCACAAAAGCCAGGGCTGGGCCTAACCAAAGCCAGAGCCCAGAACTCCACTGGGCTCTCTTCCATGGGCGGCAGGGATCTAAGTACTTGAACCACTCACTGCCTGTTGGCTCCCAGGATGTCCATCAGCAGGAAGCTGGAGCAGAAGTGGAGGAGCTGGGGCTCGAACCAGGCACCCAAACATGAGATGCAGGCACCCCAAGCAGCGATTTAACTGCTGCACCAAATGCCAACCCCCAGATTTCAAATTTTAGCTATTCTTAGTTATCTTTCAGGATTCTTTCAGGTACTTCTTGTAGGCTGATGAATTTTCTTTCCTGTGAGCTCCTTTCTTTAACTGTTAGAGATCTTTTTTATTCATATTACTTCACAGACTATTCAATAGGCTTAAATTAAACACAGAAAGTACTGCACCTGAGTACTGTGCCTTCAACTTTGGGTACCCAGGGCCAGGTGCTTTTTTAAAATAGTTGTTCTTGTATTTATTTAAAAATTGATTTTAATTTGTATCTACTTATCTAGGAGAGATAGATAAATTTACCATTCCCATTTCATTCCTCCAATGCCTGAATGACTGGGGCTGGGCCAGGCTGACACTCGCAGGTAGGAACTCAATCCAGGTCTCCCGTGTGGATGGCAGGGACCCAATCACTTAGGCCATTACTTGCTGCCTCCTGGAGTCTGCAGTGGTGGGAAGTTTGAATCAAGACTCAGAGCTGGGTATCAAACACTGGCACTTTGATACGGGCCTTGGGTCAGTAGGCTAAGTTAAACTTTTGTGCGGGGCCACCTTGTGGCTTAGCAGGTAAAGCCACAGCCTGCAGTGTCATCATCCCATATGGGTTTCAGTTCGACTTCCAATCCAGCTCCCTGCTATTGTGCCTGGGAAAGCAGCAGAGGATGGCCCAAGTGCTCGGACCCCTGCGTCCACATGGGAGACCCAGATGGAGTTCCAGGCTCCTGTCCTGGCCATTGCAGCCATTTGAGGAGAGAACCAGCAGATGGAAGATATATCTGTCTCCTCTCCTTCTGTTTCTACCTCTCTATATAACTCTTTCAAATAAATAAAATAAATCTTTAAAACAAATTCTAAAAAATTAAGTTTTATACAGCTCGTGAAATTGAGGATTTAAACTCATAAACAACCAGTCAGTGGCCTGAGCCAGCTGTTTCATGAGCCTAATCTTTGGTTATGGGTTTCAGACTTCTCTTACAAGGCGAGCACATTTATTGAGTTGGTTTAAAGTAGTAGAGATTTATGTGTGGGTAGCGATCACACTGAAAGTCAAGGCAAACACCATTAACAACTGAACACCACCAGATAACTGTCAACAGGTTTCATTACTACATTGTAAGGGGATTTCGCTACATTCCTATATCTGATGTTATCTATATGCTGACAACAGGTCAGCTCACTGCTTCCCGCCACACACATGCTTCCTCGGCCATGACTGAGGTTTGCTCACAGCTGCAGAGTTCAAGAGGTCACATCTGCTGGGGAAGCAGCCGTAGGCGTCTTGGCAGCACAGCCAGCATCCTGGCTGACTCAGGCCTCTGCGGGATTTAAGGCCCCACAGGTAACTCACTGTACACTAAAATCCCTCCTTTAGGCCGGTGCCGTGGCTCACTAGGCTAATCGCTGCCTTGCAACACTGGAACACCGGGTTCTAGTCCCAGTCGGGGCACCGGATTCTGTCCCGGTTGCCCCTCTTCCAGGCCAGCTCTCTGCTGTGGCCAGGGAGGATGGCCCAAGTCCTTGGGCCCTGCACCCATGGGAGACCAGGAGAAGTACCTGGCTCCTGCCTTTGAATCAGCGCGGTGCGCCGGCCGCAGCACGCCAGCCGTGGCGACCATTGGAGGGTGAACCAATGGCAAAAGGAAGACCTTTCTCTCTGTCTCTCTCTCTCACTGTCCACTCTGCCTGTCAAAAATAAAAAATAAAAAATAAATTTAAAAATCCCTCCTTTAAAGGCAGGTATGATCAAATTCTCAATTTGGCAATAAAGGACATTTCATTTCGTGTGCAAGAAGAGCCTTGTCCTTAAAAAGCAGCAAGGTCTAGAAGAGTGGCAAGATCTTTAGGCACAATCAATTCTTTGTTGTCAGAAAGGCAGGTCCTGGAATAATGGTCACTCCCGCAACTCACACCTCCCCGCTGTTGGAACTACACTCGGCCTTGGAGAGCAGCCAAGCCTCTGATCCCATGAAAACATGGCCTATCGATTCTACCCGTCAATGAGAACTGGCATTTTTAAATGGGGTAGGGAGACAGGCATTTGGTATAGTTGTTAAAACACTGCTCAGGATGCCAAAACCCCATGTCAGAATGCTGGGGTTAAAGTCCTTGTTGCATTCACAATTCCAGCTTCCTGCTAATGCACACCCAGGGAGGCACTGGATTGAGTTCCCAGCTCCTGGCTTCAGCCTGGCCCAGCCTCAGATACTGCAGGCATTTGGGGAGTGAATCAGCACATGGGAGATCTCTCTTCCTGCAACCCCTCCCCCTCCCACCACCATCTGTTTACTTTTCAAATAAAAAAAATTAAAAAAACATTTTTTATAAAGATGAGCAGGGGACAGTATAAGAAGTTTATGTAACCCATTGCTAGGCAATTCTCCCTTAATTATATTTCTTCTGATTCTTCATATAGCCTGCTTTGTTTCCTCGCCTGTAAACTGGAGTTACCATCAGAAGGGCTTTATCTATGAAAGCAAACAAACCCTAAGGCCAAAAAAATGGTGAGTGTGAATATAACACATACATGGTAACAGCGTTCAGATTTCCAGTAGACAGTCAAGTGTGTTTCAGGAAGTTCATTATGGATGAGCAGCAGGGCCTGATCCATCTTCAGCTCTACCGGCTTTTTCTTGTCTACGTCTGGTAAGAATTAAAAATGCAACATTAAAAAAAAAAAAAAGTAGAAAAGGTACTGAAGGATATGTTAGAGACAAACACCAGTGGTGCTTGTCAAATACTTGCACTGTGGTTTCTGGGATCTCTCATACATATCTTCAGCACACAGGGACGCATACATGTGCATGTACACACGTACACACAGGGCCCCTTTTTCCCAGTGAGGATTCAGTCAACACCATTCACACCCAGCATGTAAAAGCACTGAGCAGGGAACTTCATTCACCAGTGCTAAGATGTGACATGCACTGAAGTTACTATTTTCCGTGTAACGATGACAATCCTATGAGCTAGCCCTTTCCTATTTTACAAAGCAATACAGGCGCATAAGAATAAGATGATTGCCCACAGCAACAGAGTCTCTTACTGAAATCAGTGATCTGAACCGAATCTGTGTTACGTTCCAAAGCTCAAACTTCTCTGTCCTGTGACTGAGCTGTGAGCGCAGCCTGGGCAGCAGTAGGAATGCCAAACTGCAGAAGGCATAGGGGAGCAGGACCCAGGGACGACTCAGTCAGTCTTTCAGGTGCAAGAAGTCCTGCTTTCTGCCCCTCTGGCTGAGCGTTCAGTTTCCAAGGCAGGTTGGAGAAGGCTAAGGAGACCAGTATCAGCCTCTGGGTGCAGGCCCCACTGCTTCCCTGTTCACTCTGCACACAGATCACTGGTTTACTAGATGGCATCCTCGGGATGACGTAAAGAAGATGCATTCTAAAAATAAGTCCATGTCTTGATGGGAAAACTGCTGTTGCCTGAAGTGAAAGCAAAGTGGCTTATTATTCAAACCAAGTGAGCCACTAATACTGAGGTTACATGAAAGAGAAGTTGATTTAGCTTCTAGGCAAAAGAACACAAAGGGAACCCAGCAACACAACTCAAAAGGCAAGAATTTATTACCTTCTATTTTGTGTCATGAAAATGTCCTTCACAATGCCCGAGAAACTCATCTCAATGATTACTTCAGGAATTCGTCACTTGCACTAAAGACCTCATTTCTAGGTTTAAATAAATTTACCTTATTTAGTTCTCAGTGAAAACAAAACACACAGTATGTAACTTTTTAACTTAAATTTTAGAAAACTGATAGTCTGGGGCCAGTGCTGTGGCATAGTGGGTAAAGCCGCCGCCTCCAGTGCCAACATCCCATATGGGCGCCAGTTTGAATCTCGGCTGCTCCACTTCCAATCCAGTTCTCTGCTATGGCCTGGGAAAGCAGTAGAAGATGGCCCAAGTCCCTGGGCCCCTGCACCTGCATCAGAGACCGGAATGAAGCTCCTGGCTCTTGGCTTCGGATCGGTGTAGCTCTGGCCGTTGCAGTCAATTGGGGAGTGAACCAGCAGATGGAAGACCTCTCTCTCTGCCTCTCCTTCTCTCTGTGTAACTCCAACTTTCAAATAAAATATTTTTTTAAAAAAAAGAATATTTATATAAAAAAGAAAACTGATAGTCCATCCAGTTATTGAAAAACTTTACAAACTATCATTGTTTAGGATGATGTATATGAATTTGCTTTTTAAAATTTACAGTTTACAAAATTTAGATATAGATCATATATTTTCAATTCACATTTAGTGTCTAAATGTAGAGGTGCTGGAAGTATAAAATACATCCTGCATTCCAAAGACTTAGCAGAAAAAAGAAGTAATTTCTTACAGTGATTATATGTTGAAGTAATACCTTGGATGGGTTATATTATTTTATTTATTTATTTATTTATTTATTTTGACAGGCAGAGTGGACAGTGAGAGAGAGACAGAGAGAAAGGTCTTCCTGTTCCGCTGGTTCACCCTCCAATGGCCGCCGCGGCTGGCGCACCGCGCTGATCCGATGGCAGGAGCCAGGTACTTCTCCTGGTCTCCCATGGGGTGCAGGGCCCAAGCACTTGGACCATCCTCCACTGCCCTCCCGGGCCACAGCAGAGAGCTGGCCTGGAAGAGGGGCAACCGGGACAGAATCTGGCGCCCTGACCGGGACTAGAACCCGGTGTGCCGGAGCTGCAAGGCAGAGGATTAGCCTAGTGAGCCGCGGCGCCGGCCTGGATGGGTTATATTAAATATATTATTAGAGGGGCCGACGCCGTGGCTCACTTGGTTAATCCTCCACCTGCAGCGTTGGCAACCCATATGGGCACCAGGTTCTAGTCCTGGTCGCTCCTCTTCCAGGCCAGCTCTCTGCTGTGACCCAGGATGACAGTGGAGGATGGCCCGAGTGCTTGGGCCCCTGCACCCACATGGGAGACCAGGAGGAAGCGCCTGGCTCCTGACTTCGGATCAGCACAGCTCTGGCTGTTGCGGTCATTTGGGGAGTGAACCAATGGAAGGAAGACCTTTCTCTCTGTCCCTCTCTCACTGTAACTCTACCTGTCTAATAAATAAAATAAATAAAAATATTTAAAAAAAACAAAAATAAATAAATATATTATTAGAATCAATTGCTTCCTTTTTTTTACTTTTTTAAACTTTTAACTGATATATAAGAATAATACATATTTATGGGATACCATATATCCATACATGTATACATCATGCAATGTTCAATGTGGAATAACATAACTATCCACTCTAACATTTGTATCATCTCTTTTTTGGCACCAAAAACTCAAAATCTCTAGCTTTTTAAAAAACGTAATCTGCAGTCACCCTACCGTGTAGAACACCACAACATCTTCCACCTAACACAAACTTAGTGCCCGTCAATCAAGCTTTCCCTAACCCTCCCTCCCCTAACTCTTCCTCCTCTCTGCTAACCACCATTCTACTCTCAAATTCTATGAGATCTTTTTTTAGGTCCCATATGATCACATGATACTCATCTTTCTATGCCTGGCTTATTTCACACAACACAGTGTCCTCCAGCTCCAGCCATGTTGCTGCCAATAAGATTTCATTCTTTTCAATGGCCAATAGTATTCAACTGAGTGTACAGACTCACCTATTCCATCTCTTCATTGGGTGATGGGCACTCAGCTTGTTTCTATTTCCTAGCTAGTGTCAACGTATTGTGTCAAATCTGCGAATGCAGATGTCTCTGACAGACTGAGTTCACAGACAGATTTCTTGTTTTTTGAGGAGTCTCAACACTGTTGCCTACAGTGGCTACACTAACGGGCAATCTCAAACAGTGTGCCAGGGTTCCCATCCTCACCACTACTTGTCATCTTTTGTCTCCTTGATAATAGCCAATCCCACTGATGGAGGTGGTATTTCATCGTGGTCTTCATCCTGTGGATTAGTGATGTTGGGGGAAAGGAGCTGGCCATTTGCCATTTGTCCTCCTTTGAAAAACGTCTACTCAGAGCTCGTCTTTTTCTTTTTTTTTTTTTTTTTTTTTTTTTTTTTTTTAGATTACATGTTTGTGTGCTATGGAGTTGAGTTCCTTATATGTCCTGATTCTTAACCCCTCCTCACATGCGTACTTTGCAAACATTTTCTCCCATTCTGTAATCATCCGTCCACCCTCTTGATTGCTCCTTAGCTATGCAGAGCATTTTAGCACAATGTGATGCTATTTCTGCTTTTGTTTCCTGAGTTTTTAGGAGGCATATTCTTCAAAATAGATTCTACCTAATGTTTACTGCAAATAAAAATTGAGTCCTCAAACCATACCAAGAGAAAGCTCTTAGAGGGACTTTGACCAGGCCACCTGGGCTCCAGGTGGGCCAGAAAGCATGGTTGTCCTGCTCGGGATGGAAAGCTGAGGAAACACTAATTTTCTCCCTCCCCACTTAGAATCACCATTAACAAATCACCCTTTTCCTAAAATGACTACCGTCATCAACTGGTGTTAGAATACAAACAAAAAGCACCGGCCCAGATCTGTCCCTGACAAGTTGTGCCTGGACAGGTTATGTAACCCTCCGAGGCTGTGTCCACTGTAAGTAGCCAGCTGAAATGCTGTCTCAAAACTCATCATGTCTTCTGCAAGACTCGGAATTTCAAACAGATACTAGAAGCCCCACATTCTGATACAGAAAAGGAGACGGGAAAGAGGGGCAGATGACGATCACCTCCCCAGGGGACCCAAACACTGTCTGACCTCCGACGGCACCCGGACAAACTCTAGGGCCTGGGTAGCCGCCTTCCTCGGCCTGAAGGGAGGCGCTGGAATTCCACGTCCCCTCGCATAGCCTCCCGTTTCCCCCAGCGAGTTCGGACAGCACGCCAGCTGGGGGACGCCCTTCTGTCCCGCGTCGCCTGAGTGCACGCGAGGGCAAAAACGCCGCGGGCGGCCACGCCGCGAGTGCCCCCGAGGTCCCCTAATCCAGCCCCGGCCTGCGGCTTCTCGTCAGAGCCCGGGGCGCCGGCCCGAGCGGGCGGGGAGGCCGCTGTCGCCAGAGGCCGGACTCCGGCCGATGCCCACCCCGGGACCGGGATCGTGCTTTTCCAGCCTGGGGAAAGGAGGGGGCCGTGTGGAAGTTGCACCGGCCAGCGCGCTGGCTGAGGGGCGAGCGTGGGCGCAGTCCGGTTGTCCACCAGGCAGGCTTCCCATTGCCGCCTCGGGGGGCTTTGGGGAAAAAGGCCTCCCATCTGAGGACAAGCCGCCAGGGGACGCAGCAAGACCCACGCGCTCCGGCCCGCTCCTGCGCCACAGCTCTCGGGAGCTCGCCCGTCCGTCTGGAGGCTGGGGCCGAAGCCCCGCACCGCACCAACCCCTCTCCAGGCCGCGGCCGCCGCCCAGCGCGCCTGCAGCACAAAGCAGCGTCCTCGGCAACCCGACAGCCGCAGCTGCAAGAGGCCGAGCGGCGAGCTGGGGAAGCACGGCGCGCCCCGCCCCGCCGGCCAGGAGCGCGGTGGCGGCGCGCACTCACCTTGCGGCGGCGCCGGGGAGCCGCCAGGGGCCAGCAGCGCGGCGCTCAGCACCGACGCGGCCAGCAGCAGCGCGACCAGCGCCCAGCCCGCGCCCGGCGCTCCCGGCATGCCGGCCACTGCCGCCTCGGGCCGCCGCGCCTGCCGGGGTGACGCCTGGCCCGCCGCGCCTCGGGCGCCGCGCTGCTCGGCCCCGCGATGCTCCGTGGCCACGCTCGGCCGCGCGCGCGTCATCGCCTGCCCCCACCTCGGCTGCCGTCACCGCCCACGCCCGAGTCGGCCGCGGCGGAGCTGGGCGCCAAGGCTCCGAGGGCGGTGCCGGTGGGTGGGAGGGTCCCAGGGGCCGGGCCTGGCCGCTGCGGGGCCTGCCCTGAGGGAAGCGCCTAGGAGGCCGGGTTTTCTGTCTTTGGCTCAGTGTCTGCGCCCTCGGAGAGGGAGCCATCCGGTAGAGAGCGCTCCTGCACGCCTGGAGCCGGGGCGCCCCAGTCCCCTGCCGCTTCTCCAGCAACACTGTGCCTAGCTCTCGCGTGTTGGAGCCCCTTCTGGAAAATGCCAAGTTTAGCCAGACCATAGGTCTCCGCCCCAAGGCATCTACCATGGAGAAGACGACACACACCTTCAAAGCCACCTGTGCATTGCAGAAAGCCCGTCACGCCGGTGCACTCCCGGCTGTGTAGCTGCAGACTAGCATGTGTGTTACACTGAACAGGAACTCTGGCAGCAAGGTCGTGTAACTGCAAACCCTGTCCAGCGACCTGACTGGCCGTCCGTGGGAAAATGGGCAAGTCGTGACTTCTGACAGGGGAGCAGGAACGACCTGGAACTTCAGGTGCCAGGGCTGAGGGAGAAGGGCGATGATGCAGAACACCCCTGGTAAGACATACACAAGGGTGAGCCGGCGCCGTGGCTCAATAGACTAATCCTCCTCCCAGGGGCGCCGGCACACCAGGTTCTAGCCCTGGTCGGGGCGCCAGGTTCTGTCCTGGTTGCCCCTCTTCCAGGCCAGCTCTGCCTGTGGCCTGGGAGTGCAGTGGAGGATGGCCCAAGTGCTTGGGCCCTGCACCCCATGGGAAACCAGGAGAAGCACCTGGCTCCTGCCTTTGGATCAGCGCGGTGCGCCGGCCACGGCGGCCATAGGAAGGTCTTTCTGTCTCTCTCTCTCACTGTCCACTCTGCCTGTCAAAAAAAAAAAAAAAAAAAAAAAAAAAAAAGCGCCTATATACAAGGGTGAAGCTCAGCAAACCTCCGTGTTGATCAGGAACACGACATACAGAGACACACCCCAGATTCAAGAGATGGCTGGAGAGGCAGGAAGTCCATGTTCAAAGAGATGCCTGGAGAGGCAGGAAGTCCATGTTCAAAGCACTGATCTCACGGGTTAAGTGGAGTTCATTGCTCAAATGGATGGATGAGCAGATATATGGGTGCGCCCTGCATCATTTTTATTTTTGTGTGATGAGTGCAGTAAGTAGCATGTCAGAAGCAAAAACAGGGGAGAAAGAGTGTTCCCAGCAGGAGAGCTCAGCTCAAGGAAGTCACTGAAAGAAAGCCAGTGTGACTGGCACACAGTTCTGCGAAGGTGACAGGAGGTGAACAGATGACAGAGGTGAGCACACGCTTCTTGCTAAGGGGGAGTGTGGAGCTCCTGATGAGTCTAAGTGCGGAGTGTAACTTTCAGGAAAGTTAAGTCACAAACTGTTTGTTCAAATTCCCCAGGGGAAAGGGGACACTGTGGCAAGGCCATCACCAACTAGCCCCCTGCTGTCTCACAGCCACTGCTAGTCCACTCTTGCACAGCCCTAGCTCGAGCCACAGGGTCACTGGATGAATGTGCCCTTCTCTCCTCTCTCTTAGGAGCCAGCTCTTTCAGCCTGGTCACAGCCCCATGCCCGGGGCTTGGGAAGTGGGGCATCTGGAATTTTCTGTCTCAGGGCTAAGCATGGACTGTTCCCTCTACCTAGCACACCCTCCCCCTAGCCCAGATACCTCATGGCTCCCTTCTGCACTGTAGTCATGTCTTAGCTCAGTTGCCCCATTAACTTTACCTAAAACTAAAATCTTCTGTATCCCTGTATCCTGCTTTATTTTCTTCACTGCACTCATCTCTTCCTGATGTTGCCTATGTGTTTGTCTACTTCCCTTGCACTACAGTGTAAGTTCCAAGAGGTTGGGAAGTTTGTCTTGAGGGCAAGAACCTTCTCCATTAGGCTAAAACAGCCCCCAGGTTGCAAGGCTTATCCCAACGAACATGCAGTTGCTGCTCACGGTCACATGCAATGGTTCATTACAACAGGAGCTTCAGCCGTCACTGCAGCACTGAGAAGGCAGTGCGGCAAATTCTGCACTAGCTCTTCAAGCTCTTGCCCAGAAACATGCCTACGACATCCATTCACATTAAATTGGCCTAAGCATGTCATGGTCCCATGTGACCAATAGATGCAGGGGAAAAAAACCCACTGGACAAAATTCCCCGCAAAGTAGAAATAGAAGGAAATTTCTTCAATATGGCATCTGCAAAGTAACTACAACAACATGACACCTTAATGCACACCTTGGGAGGCAGCAGCAGATGGCCCAAGCTCTTCGGTCCTTGCCAGCCATGTGGGAGATCTGGATGGAGTTTTGGCTCCTGGTTTGGGCCTCGCACAACCCCAGCTGTGGTGGACATTTGGAGAGTGAACAGTTGGGAGATCTTTCTATGTCTCTGCCTTTCAAATAAATAAATAATTTGTTTCAAAAGCAGAAAGCTTTGCCCTTAGGATCAGGAGCAAGGCAAGGATATTTGCCTTTACCACTCCTACTGGGCACTGTACTAGAGGCCCTACTCAGTGCAAGAAGGCAAGGAAAAGCAATAAAGCACACAGAAACTGGCACTTTCAAAAGAAGGCATGATTGTACATATGGAAAATCCTAAGGACTCGGTATCAAAAGACAGATAGAACCAATGTTTGGCAAGGTCACAGAATGCAAGGACAAAAAAACAAAAACCAATTGTATGAAAGTAGGGATGACACATCCTAATCTTCTTTCCAAGGGAATTAATTCCAGGTAGCAATATCTTGACCAGTGCCTACGGTGTAAATATAAAAACTTTAACTCAGATGCATTACTCTTGTTGACTTCTTTATTAGACTTTTGATTCCCAATTACATTACATATCTCCAAAAACTTAATTACTTTCTTCATTCTGTTTGCTCTCATAAAACACTCATATTACAAAGGAATAGAAAAGAATGGCTTCACATTTGAAATTATTCTTACACAATCACAAGTTATATGCCACTGGTGGTTATGGAAAATGAGCAAGGTTGCCCCTGGCAAACACTAACTTTTCTATTTCTTTGGATTTTCCTATTCTGGGCATTTCATGTAAGTGGAATCATATAGTATGTAGCTTTTATAACCGGCTTCTTTCACTTATAATATTTTCAAGGTTCACCCACAGGGGCAAGTCTTGTGGCACAGATGGCGAAGCTGCTGATCAGGATGCCCACACCCTGAATCACAGCTCTGCTTGTGATCCAGCTTCCTGCTAATGCATCCTGAGAGGCAGCAGGTGATGACTCAAGTGCTTAGGTCCCTGCTGCCCATATGGGAGACCCAGAGGGAGTTCCTGGCTCTTGGCTTCAGCAACACTTTTTAAAGGTTCATTCATTTTTTAGCATGCAGCTTCATTCCTTGTTAAGGCTGAATAATACACCATTGTATGGATATGCCACATATCCATTCACTGGCTGACTGACAGGTTATTTTATCTCTTGCCTACTATGAATAACACTACCATGAACAGTCACATAGAGCAAGGATATGTTTTCAGGTCTCTAAGGATATAAGAAGGGACTTCAAAATTAATGGAAAATGGAATTAAATTTTTTTTTTTAATTTGGGAATTTGGGAGGCACAAAGAGAGCAAGCGAGCGAGCTCCATATCCACTGGTTCATGTCCCAGTGCCTGCAACAACTATGGCCAGGCCAGGCCAAAGCAGGGAGCCAACAACTCAATCCAGACAGCGACCAAATAGCTACAGCCATCTCCTGCTACTTCCCAGGAAGCTGGAATCAGGATCTGGAGGTGGAGTGCAAACCCAGACATTCTGATAAGGGACGCAGGCATCCTAACCAATGTCTTAACCACTATTCCAAACACCCACACTTGGTGCAAAATAATCTTGAAATCCATGTACAGTGTTGTTATAATACATATTTTCCATGTACTGTTTGAAGATTCCTCATGCCTGGGAGAACTGCTGGTACATGGAATGTCTATTTTTTGAGGAACTGCCAGACTGTTTTCCAAAATGGCTGTACATTACATTCCCACTGACAATGAGGGTCCCAGTTTCTCCTGCCAACATTAGACTATAGCCACCCTAGAAAGGAGATTGTTATAACAAAATAAACAAATGCAAGGTGAAGGGGGTGCCCCGAGCTCCTCAGTGACAGTGGACATCCTCCAGGCAGGCATATGCTTGAATCCACCGCAGAACACAGGGATGACACTGTCCTACCCCTACTGCCTGAGGGGCCCCCCCTCAGCGTCTCCAGGTCAGTAGCGTTGGGATCATGCAGCAACCAGTCAGAAATGCAGATTCGTGGACTCCACTCTAAAACCACCAAGCCAGAGACCAAGCACTCTCTGATGCCAGGTGGTTCTGATGCCCACTTGAGCTTGGGAAAGGCAGAGCCCACTGCAACTCACCATCTGATTAGTGACCATCAAAGTGCACCAAATCCACCCCTTGCAGGAAGGACAACAGCTTCACCACAGTGATCGCTCTCAAGGTCTCAATCACCCATGTCAAGTGGAAGGGTTTGATTCCTCTCAGTGACTGGTGATACTTATTTATGGAAGATGTTCAGTTAGTTTTGGACCAGCTGGAAGGGCAGCAGGAATTTCATAAGCAGGACCACAGCCAGTATCACAGGTTACTATTTCCCCCTCACACTTGCTGCTCTAAATATGCCTGTCCATTCAAAACCTCCAGGAGCGTCCACCACAGCTTCTTCACTCGTGGAGAAAGGACGGCACAAGGGCGTCATGGAATGATCACCTATAGCAAGAAGAGATGCCCTGGGTGCCAGCAGACACAGCCCACAGCACCCCAGGGATCCTGCATGGTCAACACCACTTTTTAAATTAGGCGAGAAATGCTCCTTGAACTATTATGGGCTTCTTTTTCATAGACTGCCATGTAACAATCTTTGTGAATGCATTCCTTGCAAGTTAATATATTCAGTCACGAGAGCAGGCAAAGCCTCTTCATGGCTACATGTTCTTTTTACTTCCCTCAAATGCTGGTTGTATCTGCTGCCTCTGTGCATCCTCACAAGGAAGCAGCTGGCCTTAGAGAAGTGACCCAGATGAAAAACCAGGCTCAGTCGGCTCCTGCTAGGTTGCGGGGAGAGGTAGAACACACTCAAATGTGCATGTGGGTGTAGAGGAGGAACCACACGGCTGAATAGGAAAGAATAACAAACCTTGAGACTCAAGCTAAAAACTTCAGACTCAGCCCTTCGCCCCATCAGCGGCTGGGGTGGTCTCACAGCATTTCTCTTGTCTGTGACATCACAGTGTCTCTGAGTGAATTCAAAACCTTCTGGTAAGTGTCCAGCACTTCCCGAGCTGTGGGCCGCTCCTCAGGAATCTGATTCTTACATGCCTTATGGATGTCAAACAAGTGGAACCGGACCATATCACTCCCCTCCACGTGCCCCAGAAGGAAACTGGAGACATCTGGAATCTTCCAGATGTCGATCTTCTCATCATACGAGGGCATGAACTCGTCCTGAAAAGGCCTGTCCTCTCCATAAGGCCACAGCTGCTCTGGGGCCACGAAATCCCCATGAAGCTCCCGGTGGCCGCACTTCACGAACGTCCTGGAGCTGCGGTTCACCAGGGGCAAGGCATCCAGGTCGTTGGCCACAATGCTGAAGTTACTCGTCAGCAGATACTGGGACAAGGTCTTGGGCAGGTCGCTGGAGTCACACATGACCCGCGTGCCCAGAGGGCTGTGGTGCAGGTAATCGATGATGCTGACGTACTCCATGGCCAGCTGCAGCCGGTGCTGCCATGTGTTCACCTGCTGGTACTTGGACAGGTTGAGTGTTTCCTCCAGGTTGCTCAGGGAGCCCAAAGGGTGATATTCGGTAAGAATAGTGTTGTCGTCCTCACAGAACCCGAGCAGCGTGACCACATATCTGCTCTGCAGAGACTTCAGCATCTGCAGCCCGTGCAGGAAGTCATCCTTCATCTCCAGCCTGGTGAGCCGAGACAGTGCGACTTTGCGCTCCTTCCACTCCGACAGAAAGACCTGAAACAAAGCCGCAGGGAGCATCAAACCTGGATGCCACCAGGCTTAGTGACCTGAGAAATAACTGTCTTTTAGTGGCAGATGCGGTGCGAAAGGTGCAGAAATTAAGGGGCCAGAGACCCAGCCCTAGAGGTGCTCTTGGCCTCGTTATAAAAGACACCTGGAGGGGCCTGCACTGTGGCGTGGCAGGTCAAGTTGCCTCCTGTGACACCAGTATCCCATATGGGTGCTGGTTCAAGTCCTGGCTGCTTCACTTCCCATCCAGCTCCCTGCTAATGAGCCTGGGAAAAACAGTGGCCCAGTTACTTGAGCCCCTGCACCCACATGGGAGGCCCAAAGGAAGCTCCTGGATTCAGACTGGTCTAGCTCTGACCATTGTACCTATTTGGGGAGTGAACCAGTGGATGGAAGACCTGTCTCTCTCCCTCTAACTCTCTCAAATAAGTAAATAAATCTTTAAAGCAAACAAACAACAAAAAAGACACTTAGAACAAAGACAACATCCAGCAAGGCAAGAACACAGGAGTGTGGAAAATCTTAGGGCGGGAACAGGTGGAAAGCACTGACTCTGGCCAGACACTGAAATCCTGCTGGAGCAGCTGCTGGAGGGCTCCTGGGAGCTGCTCCTTGAGGGTAGCTGGGACTTGCAGATGCAGAGCATGGATGAAGGAACGACAAGCAGACACACCTCCACCCTACTGCAGTGCACAGGGCATGGAGGAGCTGCCAGCAGGGAGAAGACTGGAAAACCCTACACTCCCTCCCCCAGTGTACCAAGGTGACTCCTGGATTTTAAAAGGTAACATAAACCACCAACAGCAACATTTCCATGTAAGGGGAGCACCTTTTCCATGTTCTATGGTTTTATGTTGCTTCCTTTGTAAAGGCAAGAGCTGAAATGCCACAAAGACACTAGACCTGTCCTTATGGCTCAAAAGTAACAGAAGCACATTACAGCCCTGGATTTTCATTTTTCACTTGCTAAAGTTCCAGGAAGCACTGTCATTAAGGAAAGAACCAAAAAGAAAATTACAAAAGAGAAAACAAGCTCAGAAGTTCATGACATCCCTGACCCAGACTGGCTCTGCACATAATGAGCTCTCTTCATCATCAAAACAAAGGCAATTTGTTATTTATCCAGAATTTTAACATCAAAATTTAAAAATCTATCTATGGCAATAATCTAAAATAGATGAAAAGATTCAGAATTTTTTTTATTGTTTATCTCTTCCTAAAACATCTATTTGGAGAAGGGTGAATAGAATTTCCTTTTTATTATAAAATTAATCATGAATAGTTTTCTTGGTAAAAACTCAAGTACAGAAGGATGAAACACACCTCCTTCCCCAAAATTTTATTTCCCAATCCAAAATAAACCTGACCACTGTCTAGTTATTATGAACCCACAAGTTTTTCTGCACTTTTATATAATCAGTGTACACTTAATTATAAAACAGCATTTGAGTTGGTTGTTAAATAGAGACTCTATGCATATTGTAATTAGTTTGTTTCTCTTAATTGATAACCTAAGAGATCTTTACTGCATGTATATACACATATACACTAGGTCATTCCTTATAAGTTTTATTGATTTGAAAGGCACAGCCAGAGAGGGGAGTGAGAGAGAGAAAGAAATCTTCCACCTGCTGGTTCAGTCCCCCAAATACCTATGACAGCTGAGGCTGGGCCAGGCCAAAGCCCAGAGCCAGGGAACTCAACCCAGGTATCCCATGTGGGTGGCAGGGACCAGGTACTTGAGCCATGAACTGTGCCTCCCAGGGTGCACAAAAGCAGGGAGACAGATTGCAGGTGGAGGTGCCATTTGATCCCAGACAGATAGGTGATGTGGGTATTTCAAGGCATGGCCCAACCCACTTCACCAGCATGCCTGCCCCGCAGGTCATCTTTTTAAAGCTCTGTGATATTTCATAGTATGGGTATACTATCTATGCTAGTGTGTTTTCAGTAAGGCTTTACATACAGTCACTTTACTTTACACACACGGATGCTGTTTGTATTGGATTCTTCCTCTGACTACGATGTAGCTATAATTTTGTATAAATCTTTAAGGATCTCATGTGATCTATTTTTAATGGACATCCAAATTATTCTCCATTTTTTCCAATGACAATGCTATAACAAAGAGCCTTTTATCTACTTCTCTATGTGCATCTGCAAGTATATCATAAGCTAGAAAAGCAGATGAGAACTATGCACTGCCATCATTACCTCCAAGTGTGGGCCAACGTGTACCACCACCAGTGTCTACCCTTAGTCACATCAGATGTCACTGATCTTTGCAGTTGGTGCAAATCTCAAGGAAGAAAACCATCTCACTACACCAATTTGTCTTTCCTAACTATGAATGAAGCTGAATATTTTCATCTCCATTGGTATTTCTGCATTTCTACTGTTGAAAATCTGCTCCTTGTCCTTTATCCATGGCCCTACAGGGTCCTTTGCCTGGTGCCTACTCATTATCAGGGACTCTTCATGTATCACACATGTGAGTCCTATTATTAATGTAAAAGATACAGAAGATCATTTATGTGCTCTTTTGTACTACAAGGTAACTGCTATGCAGTCAAATGTTTTAATTGATTTAACAAGTATTTATGTGAATACAAATTGAAATTCTTGCCACCATGAAATTTACAATCTAGTGCAACGAATAAAATAAACAATTCATAAAGTACACTGGAAGGTGAAATGCACTTCCGAGAAAAACAAGGAAGGGTTTGCAATTTTATTTTATTTTTTAATTTCTTTGAGAGGCAGAGAAAGAGCAACAGCGTGAGAAGATAGACAGACAGTGAGTTCTCATCTGTGGCTTATCCCATCAAATGTCCACGATGGCTGGGATGGGGCCAGATGGAATTCAGGAACCAGGGACTCAGTGCAGGTAGCAGAAACCCAATCACTTGAGACATCACTGTTGCCTCTCAGGGTCTGCACTAGCAGGAACTTGGAGTCAGGAGCCAGAGTTGGAGCCGGGCATTGAACCCAGGCACTTAGTTAACAGGACACAAGACATCCCAACTGGTGTCTTAAGCACTGGGCCAAATGCCTGCCCTTGCAATTTCAAATTAGGCTGGGGAAGGTCTTAGTGGGTTGGCATTTGATTGAGGCCCTGAGGGTGAAAAGGGAATGATCGGGGCTGGCACTGTGGCGTAGCAGGTAAAGCTGCTGCCTACAATGCCGGCATCCCATATGGGTGACTATTCAGGTCCTGGCTGCTCCACTTCCAATCCAGTTCTCTGCTGTGGCCTGGGAAAGCAGTGGAAGATGGCCCAAGGGCTTAGGCCCCTGCAGCCATGTGGGAGACCTAGAAGAAGCTCCTGACTCCAGATTGGCACAGCTCCAGCCATTGCGGCCAACTGGGGATGGAAGATCGATCTCTCTCTCTCTCTCTCTCTCTCTCTCTCTGCCTCTCCTTCTCTCTCTGTGTAACTCTTTCAAATAAATAAATCTTTAAAAAGGGCGGGGGGCGGGAGGATGAGCTGCTTGATATACAGAAAACTATCCCAAGAAGAAAACAGCACGGCCAAAGACGGAGCCAGGTGGAAGCAAGCCCACGAGCTTCCAGAGCAGCAAGGCCAGGGTGCTGCTGCGGGACAAGGAAGGACAGCAGAGGAGAGGGGCTGGCAGGAGGGTGCAGAATGACTGGCAGGGCCTCCTTGCTGAAAGGACTCTTGCTTGCAGTAAGACAGAGCCTCTGGAGGATTTGGGGCACCCGGCTGCAGTGCTGAGGACAGACTGAAGGGGGCAGGGCAGCAGAGACCATCCTGGAGGCTGGCGAGGCAATCTGGGTTCAGGTCAGGGGTGGGGTGGCTGGGGGTCGGAGCCTGAGAAATGCTCTGTTTCCAGATGAACTGGGAGTGTGCAGACAGTAAAGGCTGCTGAGGGAATGAACAAGAAGGCGAGAGAAGGAGAAAAGTCCCCGACAAACCCCTCCTCCACCCCCAGGATAAAGATGTTACCTGAGACAGGGAAGAGCAAGCTCTGAGGGGGAGGATCTGGACTAAGAAGTCTGGGCGGGCCTTTCTGACACCCAAGCAGACGCGCCAGGAGCAGACAGAAAAGTGAGAGCTGAGGGACAAGGTCTCAGCTGCAGACACTGCCCCAGGCTGCACGAGGAGGCTGGCAGCGAGTGCAGAAGAAAGGCCAAGTTACACGGGACCGAGAGCAGGCGGGCAGCAGTGAAGACGCTGGCTGGGAAGCCTGTATCCCGTATTGGAGTGCTTGGGTTTGAGTCTGGCTCTGCTTCCTATCCAGTTTCCTGCTCATGTGCCTGGGAGACAGCAGGTGATAGCTCAAGTACTACTGAGTCCCTGCCACTCTTCTGGGAGTCCTGGATGGAGCTCCTGGCTTCAGCCTGACCCAGCCCCTGCCACAGTGGGCAGAGAGCGACTCAGTGAATAGAAGCTCTGTTTCTCCCACTATTGTCATTCTGCTTTACAAATGTATAAAATTTAAAAACAAATAGCCTGAAATGTTCAAAACAGACCATACAGGGGCTGGCATTGTAGTATAGCAGGTAAGGCTGATGCCTGCAATGCTAGCATCCCATATGGGTGCTGGTTCAATACCCAACTGCTCCACTTCCAATCCAGTTCCCTGATAATGCGCCTGGGAAAACAGCAGAGAATGGGCCAAGTGCTTGGGATGAAGCTCCTGGCTCCTGGCTGTTGTAGTCACTTGGGGAGTGAATCAGTGGCAGATCTGTCTGTCTCTCTCTCTCTTTTTTTTTTTTTTTATTTGACAGGTAGAGTTAGAGAGAGAGAGAGAGACAGAAAGAAAGGCCTTCCTTCTGTTGGTTCACTCCCCAAATGGCCGCTACAGCCGGCGCTGCGCCAATCCGAAGCCAGGAGCCAGGAGCTTCTTCCTGGTCTCCCACACAGGTGCAGGGCCCAAGCACTTGGGCCATCCTCCACTGGCCTGCCGGGCCACAGCAGAGAGCTGGACTGGAAGAGGAGCAACCAGGACAAGAACCCGGCGCC